TTCTCACAACTCTTTAAAATATCCTCCCACATGCATTGCAATAGGAAGAATGTGTTATTCAAGCATGACATCCAACATTGCAAGATGTGTTATGTTGTAGCAGTGTATCACATTAACATGCAAATGCACTACAAACACATGCATGACAACATGCAGAACACAATGTGCGAACATATCATCCAACATATGAAGCGTATTGTGTTGTAATATCACATCGCATTGACTTATAAATACATTATACATTACACAAATGAATTAAGCACCACAAAAAGGGTTATGCAAATATGCAGACAACACATAAATCCAACCTACAAGTATAGCATGCCAGTCTTACCGAAACATCATATCAATCATGCAATCACAACATATTAGTCATATAAATACTTTATGATATAAGTATAAAATATATCATACGTGTCATATCAAATACACCGATCATTCTTCAAATATGAATACTCGTATGAGCCCCGACGAGTGTGATTTATGCATACACATAATGTCTTAGGATGCTGCACTAGTCAAGAAATGAACTTAAAATCAACACAAATCCATATATATATATATATAGGAGTCGGCACGGCTCGAACTATTAAACAAATGCATGGTCGTAGCACCGATCGAGATATTTGTTTTATATGTTAATATTAGTTCTTCAATGTTTATTACAAGAAAAATTCACTAATAAATGCATAAAGTCGACGATGAATGCAACCCTTTGTCAGTAAATAGACAGAGTCGACAAGGTTTAACCAACAAAAATAAAATTGTCCATAAGCACCCCGATGATGGCCATCTGAAAATCTCAACCGAAGAGGACCCCAAATATTTAAAATGCATCCAAAATTCTCATGAAATATAAATATTTAAAGTGACAAAAAAGTCACCCTAACAATGGTCGCGTTGAATATATATCTCAATCGTAGGGATTAATTGGAAAATACCCATCAAAGACTTAAAATCCTATATCCATTGATAAAATTAATATTTAAAATCGGAATTCATTCATCTAAATAACTTAAAGTAAAATTCATTCACTCTCTGCAACAATTTGCTGAGGTGGTTAAATTTGAAAATGATTTCAGCTTACAAAGAGCAAATATCTTGTCAAGAATATCATTATGATTCATTCTCAATATGTCTCTTGCTAGTAAGGATGTGGAAAGTGTCCTCTGACTGATGGTTTCGCCGCCAAATAGCACCAGTAATAAACGGTTATGATGGGGACCCTCTGACCGGGTGTTTTTGTCGCCAAATGCCATCATTAAATTACTGTCATAGTCATAGCCCGTATGTTCCCAACGACTTCAAATCCTTGAGTAATGAATTAATAGAATATGATCGAAATGGCACAAAGTTCATTATTGGCTAAGGTGGATACAAATTTGTCCCCTTAGACAAACATTTATCCGAAGTCTACAAGGTATCTTTAGACAAAGCAACTCATGTTTGTCGACACGGATCCTTTGGTCAGGTTGGTTTGACTACCTCCTCTGACTAAGTATACTAGGGACCATGATGACCCGGGACAATGGAATTATGGGATCTTGATCAGGTATATCATCATCCCCCCTCACTTTAAGCACCAGGTGATGAATTTTCAATTTTAAATATTAAATTTTCAAATGCCAAATCATGTTGCTACTATACACTAGATATTATGTATATGTTTGATGACTAGCCTTAATTCGAAAGTTTTCTCTCACTATCGGGGGGTAAACAACTATAGGGGCTTGCACCTATAGGAAACCTGAACTCATATCATCTATGATGCACGGACACGGACACGGCGACACGGACACGGACACGACACGACAAGGACACGAGACACGGCTTTTTTTGAAATTATAGGACACGGGTACGACACGGACACGACAATATATTTTTTATATAGTGTATATATATTAATGTAATATCATATTAAAAATGACAAACAATAATAAATGAATGACATGATAACTTGTCTAGCTTATAATATAAAATATTTAGTACAACCACAAAAATATAAGCAAATAATCACTTACTACAATATCAACTAGAATAGGCGGGATGGGCAGAATAATAAAATTAGGGCAAATATATGTTTTTGAGAGGGGGAAAATACCAAAATTACCCTCCTTTAGTACTTTTTTTTTTTTGAGGGTGGGCATTTGCCCACCCTGAGATGAGCGTGGGTCCGCCTATGGCGGGGGCGTAAATTTTCGGAGCCCACAGCATCCAAAGTTCAATTATGATGCTTCTTAAGGTAGAATGCCTATGATTATGAATCAGATCAAAATAACACAAAAGAGAAAACCTATGTTCGCTGCAGGAGTGAGAAGAAGTATTTTTCACTATGAAACAGTCAAATTTCAAGTGTTAACAAAACAAAATCTCCAACTATAGCTAGAGGACAAATAGGTGATTGAACAATAAGCACAAAGAAGAGTAGAAAATTATTAAGAATGAGAAAGATATGATGGAAGATCATAATAAATTAGACTAGAGTAGATATATTTTGAGCACCGTTTCGTAAGATGGGGTTCTCTGGGGCAACTAGATGGGCTAATGTGTGGGTGGTTGTGGGGAGACAAGTCATTATATCAAAGTTAGGCGACAATGTTGGACGGAGTAGGAATGAAGCAGCACATTGTAGTTTTCAATGAAGAAATAATGTTAGGCTACTAAAAGGTTGTGCTAACCATGAGAGGATGGAACATTGCGAGCGTGCTAGTAGATGTAAGGGATAACACTTATGGGATGGTTGGCTAGCCCCGAGACCATCCATGTAAGCAGGATGAGACTCCTAGCAGTTGGTACATAAGTGGCCTAGAATGGTGACCAAGATCGGTTGAATAAGTTATATTTGTTAATACTTTAAGGAGGTGGCACATGGTTGGATAAGAAGAATTTGGCAATTGTCACATGACATTTTACACCCTTATTTTGAGCCCTATATGTAACTTGAGGATTTAGAACAATGAGTCACAACTTGCTTTCTCACTCCAGACCCTCACCTTCCACTGCCGAGGACTAAAAGCTTTGATCTATGTGCATAATGATTGATTGCAGTGGATAAGATAGCATCCTTGAAATGTGCATATTGCATTTTTAATAACAAAATGGCAAAAATACAACTGTGTACAAAACTATTTATATCTTCCTTAAGCAAAATAAGAAAATAAGAAGGAAGATTTTCAATTTGGTCTTTTTTTCTATACAAAATTACAAGCCAAATCAAAATGAGCTCAAAAATGTGAAAACTTGTTGCATTGCCTTAGTGTATAATGGAATATCACCTGGTTAAAGTGAAGAAAAAACTGAGATTTGGTCCATTGAAGTGGCCGGGTCCTCCATGATTTCTGTCTAAAGCTCTGATGGAGGAAGATGAGAACACCTTGGTTATCACCCTCAATCAGTTCATACATTCAAGGTTGAATGAGAGATTTGAGGAACAAAATGGCTTGGATTTCAACAGTAGTACTGTCCCAGTGTTCTCATGACTGATTTGCCTCTGAAATGAAAGCCTCGTTGTCATCTCTAATATTAGCTCGATAAGAGGGAAGAAAGGTGCCATCGACATTGGCCTTAATCAAACCACGAGGGAGGAGAGCGCAATTGATGTGGCCGAGTAGGGTCCCAGTGCTCCTGTAGAAAGTAAGCCCAAGCCTTGGTGAAGGATTCAAGTAATAGTGACTACAATAATGGTGAGAGTCCCAATTGACTGGTTATAGTGGCTGCAATAATGATAGATGGCATCTAGGAGAAAGCTGAAAGAGTTGTTTGTAATTTTGGTTTTAAAACCTTTTCATGAATTAAGGACACTTGGATGGCAACTTGATGATGGTATGATTAAACCTTAGTGAATCTCAATTCAAAAGGTAGGATTCTGTTTCAGACGGCACTATAGTGCCTCAGGATCCAGATCATTGCAGGTAGTGAAGCCATATCAATCAATTCATGCCATGTAAACAGACAATATGCTGGAAGCTTCTTCACAATTTGCATGGTCTTGAGACGTCATTTTGTTTTTATGGTTTTCCTCTTACAAACCATGATCTGTTGCATAATCATTTGCTCCATGTGTGCTCTTTTTCATTGTTCATGTCACAGTTTCTGTTAAGCAATGCTTTGTTTAAAACGAGTCTTCCAGTTTATATTTTAGGCGTTTATTCCCACGTATGAATGCTTGTTAGTTGATTGACTAAATTGAACAATCTATAGGTGATGAAATGGGTAACACTTTTTTCATTTGTTGGTAATTGAACCATAGTTAGCAAGTGGTTGAAATTAGAACCTTTAGTCTTTTTTTGTTTTTACCCTGGAAAAATTGGGGGTCTATTTGGGACAATTTTCTTGCTACTTTGTTTTTTCAGACTGCAACAAGAGTTTTTATTTGGCTATTACTTTTTCGTTGCTTCCATGAAATTTATGTTCTAAAAAACTATTTTTTCGAGCAACTTTCAAAAACGTTATTTTTGCCGTAGTAGTTTTATAATCATCTTTACAAAAATTACAACTATCTCAGACCCTAAATTTGCATATAGGCATACTCCAAGTGAATCGGACAATCTTCTTTGCAGACCCCATACAATGGCATGATTTTATTCGAGCAAAATTTTCTAGGAGCTTATACGCTAATCATTTTACTATGAGTTTGATAAAAAACTGCATTTTTTGTGTTTGCTTTTCCATTGCGCTTGAATTAGTCTTAGGGAAAAATGTTTTATCCAGTACTGAGGCTCCCGACAACGCTGGATTTGGGAAAGGAATGGTCTTTTTCAGTTATTTCTCATTGCTGCTATTGTTTTCATTGTTCGTAATTATTGATGTGTGTGAATGTATCCTCAGTAAGATGATTGGAACTGATCAAGCAGGGAAGCGTTCTTCTTTATTTTTGGTTCTGGTGGGGAGTGGGGGATGGAGTTGTTCTTTATTTAATTTAAATGATATATTACTCTCAGCACTTACATTTCCTTCCCCTGTTATTTATAGTAACTTTACAATTTGGTGTTCGATTGTAGGTCTTAAAAAATAAACCAGATTTTCATCGGAAGCCATGGCCTACTATAAGCAACAGTGCAAAGGATTTTGTTAAGAAGCTACTGGTGAAAGATCCTCGTGCTAGGTTGACTGCTGCTCAGGCTCTGTGTATGTATTTAGTTTGGTTCCTCTTAGAAATTCTGTGAAGATCAACTTTTTGGTCGGTTCAACCATTTAAAAGAAGCGGAAATTCATCTTCAATAACACATGCACATCCTCTTACATAAATACTTGAATGTATGCTAATATGTATAATACAAAGTTTGTACCTTAGGAGAAGGGCGGACGGAAAAGAAAACCTAAAAAAGCTATACAAATCTGAGTCAAGTTGACATGGAGTCACCACAAAAGATTTGTGGAAGTCTAGAAGCAGTTGTTGGAGTACAACGTTATTAGCTTTAGGAAGCTTGGAGCATTGAGGCTGGAACTAATGGCCAAATGGAAGGGAACCACTATACGTTGTCAAAGACTTTCATAATAATCTAAAATAATTTTTCCTAAAACTTTCTTCCAATTTCATAAAAGGTCACTAAATCTTAAACTTCCATCAAATATGACTTGTATACCTACATTTGTGGGATTCGAAAATTCGTGCCCCGGCTAGTGCAATAAAGGTTTGATGTTGTTGATATTGTGGTACCCTTGGATGTAGATCAAGAGAGAGAGAGAGAGAGGAGGTTGGAAAGGAAGGATGTGAGAGGTAATAAAGAAAAAAGATGAAGTTCAGGGAAGTAAAACTTAGGGAAACAGGAAAAGAAGGAAATGGATAGCCGAGGAATAGTAGAAAAGAATAATAATTCCGAACCAGTTCTCTCTCAATTACAGTTATCCAGATTGATTCAAGCTAACACTGTATCAAACTTTTTTGTTCCTTATTTCTTTAATATCTTAGCTGCATTTATTTTAATATTGAGTATGTTTCTACTGGTTATGAAAATTCTGATTGACTGTGAATTCTTTTATTTTTTTTTCTTTTCAGCACATCCATGGGTAAGAGAAGGGGGACTTGCGTCAGAAATTCCATTAGACATATCTGTGCTATCCAATATGCGCCAGTTTGTGAAATTCGGTCGTTTCAAGCAGTTTGCTCTTCGGGTAAATCTGCAATTCAACGCTGCCATTGAATTTGTGCTAAACCTATAATTTATACGCTTGCATTCCCAGGCATTGGCTAGCACTCTCAATTCAGAAGAGCTCGCTGATCTTCGAGATCAATTTGATGCTATTGATGTTGATAAAAATGGTTCAATCAGCCTCGAAGAAATGAGACAGGTAAGTCTTCTATAGGTACCATTCTCATGTTGCTTAACAGGAAAATGCTGTGAATTACTTGTCCTCTAAAAGATATTATATCTGCATAATTCATGTCAACTCCACAGTGATAAATATTCTGTCTTGTTGATTAAGGCAAATTTTTAAGCACAAATGAAATTCATCTTTACAAATTCTTTTATTTATGTGAAACTTCTATTTTCTTTATTGCTAGCTATTGTCTTTAGATTGTCTAATTTACCGCGCAATTGGTTTTGTATTTGTAGTTTCTGGATATCTCGTGTCTCTAGACTCTAATATCCAATCCTTGGTAAAGTTAGGTCTCAGTTTATGGGGAAATTATTCTGTGCGGACTCCAGACGGGGAGAACCGTCTGGATTGTTGTGTATTTTGTGAGTATTTACTACGTATTTTCAAATACGCAGTAAATATTCACAAAATACGTGGCAAATCAGCAAATACTCACAAAATACTCATAAAATACTCACAAAAAAGCTCACAAAATACTTAGCAAATACTCACAAGTTACTGAGTAATACTCACAACAGCGTATTTTGTGAGTATTTATTGCTTTTTTGAAAATACACAGTAAACATTCACAAAATACACAGTCAATCCGAATGGATCACCCCGTACGGACTCTGCACATAATAATTTCCCCAGTTTATTGGGAAATTATCCTGTGTGGAGTCCGAACAGAAAGAACCGTCTGGATTGATGCGTATCTTGTGAGTATTTACTATGTATTTTCAAATACACAGTAAATACTCATAAAAAACATAGCAAATCAGCAAATACTCATAAAATACTCACAAAATAATCACAAAAAATCCACAAAATACTCAGCAATTACTCACAATATACTCAGTAATACTCACAACTGTGTATTTGAAAATACACAGTAAATACTCACAAAATACATAGTAAATCTAGATGGATCATTCCATCTGGACTCTACACAGAATAATTTCCCCAATTTATAGCATCAAAATTATATGAGGAAGCTTTTCTATATCGGCAAATGAACCTCTAATCCATGATTAGGTTGCTTCATGAATCGTCAAGCTTATGACACAATCCTATCATTCTTAGCGAAGGACCATAATTTTATTATGAAGAGAGCATTCATAAATGCTTTTTATTCTAGCGGAACAATCTAATCATGGAAACATCCTCTTTGTTGTTTAAGGATAAAACTGTGAAATCATCCCTTTGCCATAAATCCAATTGACATAATCTCAAGTACTGTGCCCTTCTGAAAAAAAAAACTTATCTTGAAGCGGTAAGCATCATAATGTTCCAATTGACATAATCTCAAATATGCAGGCTCTTGCTAAAGATATTCCTTGGACGTTGATGGAGCCTCGTGTTCTGGAGATTCTTGAAGCGGTAAGCATCATAATGTTCTGTAGCCTGCATCTTATCTATTACATGTTCAATCTAATCACTCCTTCAATCTTCAATACATTTCCGACATTGCATGGTTTGCCATCATTGTTGCATATTCAATCTGAATCCTGTGGTTTGTGAAGCAGATTGACAGCAACACCGACGGCTTGGTCGATTTCTCGGAATTTGTTGCAGCAGCCCTACGTGTGCATCAATTGGAAGAACATGACTCGGAGAAGTGGCAACAGTGTTCCAAAGCAGCTTTTGAAAAGTTTGATATCGACAAAGATGGATATATCTCATCTGACGAACTTCGAATGGTATGTTTTCTTTATCTTCTCCAAGTGAAAACCCAAATCTTCATTCCACTGAAAGATTACTTTTCTTTAGAGCCCGAATCCATTTTTTATGATTGAAACTACAACAATGTTGATTTAGAACCACGGCTCTGATTACTCTACCTAGGGGTGTAAACGAGTAGAGTTTTAGCACTATCGAGCTCAGCTCGTTTTTTCAGAAAGCGAGCTTGAACTCGAGCTCTTCCCACTATAAACAAGCTCAAGCTGACTCATCGAGCTGCTTGATTTCAAATTTCCTGCCCGATTTTCATTTTCCCACCTGGTTTTCATTTAGGAGAAAATAAAGCTGCATGGATTGATGGGAAAAGGCTGTAGCTTTTAAGCCTCATTAAATAGCTCATTTAGAGAGAGAGAGAGAGAGAGAGAGAGAGAGAGAGATGGAGAGAGAGGGATTGAGCAGTTTTTTGGGTAGTGCTCTGTCAAAGAGGTATTAGCATTTATTATTATGAGAGAGAGAGGCAGAGTAGCAAATTTTTGGAAGAACATGACTCAGGAGTGTGATTTATACATTATTTATTATTAAATTTTTTAAAAATTTTAAATGTAATAAATTGGAGCCGGCTCACGAGCTCACCAGCCAAGCCGGGCTCAAGCTCGACTCGTGAGCTCGATAAGCTTGGCTCGCGAGCCCATAAATGAATCGCGAGCCGGCTCGGCTCACTTACACTCCTAACTCTACCTCTCATTAAACTTCTCCTTTCTTTCAGTACATAGGAATGAAGGGTTCTATTGAACCCTTATTGGAAGAGGCTGATATGGACAAGGATGGCAAGATAAGCTTAGATGAGTTCCGGCATATGCTAATGACTGCAAGCATGAATTCCAGCAATGCGCCCAGCATGAGCGTTCCAAGTTCTCGCAAGTTGTGATGATGATGAACTTATGAGATCATCTTACGGCTTCTAATTCAACTAACTCATAGAATTAAAGCCTTCTTTTATCAATTAAAAGCTTGCAGTTATCTTGAAAGCGGTAATCTTTGCGTTAGGCGCAAAATTTCTGCAGATATTTGTTTGCTGCTCATGATTTTCTTTACAGAAATTCTAATATAAAAACTGAGAGCTGACGATTGTGTTGTTGAATGTGGCTGTTGGATGTGGTAATAAAAAGAATGGAGCAATTTCATGCGTAACAGTGTACAAACTATTAAATTTGTTTAATGTATGACATTCCCATTGAAGGGGGTTGTTTGGTTATGCTTTTAAATTTCATGTATTTTAGAAATAGAGAAATTAAAATACATGGATTTTAAAAATGTATTGATTTGAGTTATTTAGATATTAATTAAATGCATTGAAGTTTTTTTTTTTCATTTATTATGATATATTTTAGATTCATTAAATCAAGCATCAAATAGAGTTGGATTTCAAGAAAAAAAAAATGGAATAAACTCTTTATTATGCTTTTGCACCTAAGAATATAATTCAAATTAGATAGGCATATAGATAAAAATTCATAATAAAATTGTTCTCAAAAGAAAGAGAGTACAACAACATGAAGCCTTTATCTCACTACGTGGGATCGGTTACATTAATTTTTTTTCGTCATTATATCTTATTGAGAGTCAAATTCTCATTTAAATTTAATAAAGAAATGTCATTTCTAATATTTTCTAATCAAATTTTTTTAGGTTTATCTCTATCTTTCTTAATATAAGCCTAATTTAATAAATTACTTTATCGGGAGGTGGTCTTTTTATGTGATCAAATCATCTAATATGACTCTCTCTTATCTTATCTTCCATTGGAGCTATTCCAACCTTTTCATGTATTTGCTTATTTCATATCCTAATTAGGTCATTGGGAGGTCGTCGTTTTATGTGACCAACCTTCTAATGCGACTCTCTCTAATCTTATATTCCACTAGATCTATTAATACTAAAATTACACTGCATATATTTAGTTTTAAATCTTCTCAAACAAGAACATTTAGACTCTAAAATTGACCTCCATAATAAATGCAGTTGCTCAAATTCTAAAAAAAAATATATATATATCTTTTTTTTTATTTCATACATAAAATTATGTATTTCACTATCCTTTTTTGCTCCTCCTTAAAAAATTGGTTGATTCAGCCCCTTTGTATTAGTGGAACAGCTTTTAGAATCAAAGCTCATTCCACCAACTGTATGTTTTTCTTAGCTTCTAACCTTTCTTCCCTCCGATTGATCTGTCCAAAAGAAAACTAAATGGATGAAACCAAAACAGAAGCATTGAAGAACGAATTTCATAATTCTTTGTAAGAAGCAATAATGCAATAATTCTTCCATACTGTGAAAAGAGATCAAAGGTTAAGTAGAAGGAAAATTATTACATGGAAGTTTCCTGATAAGAACAACCAACCATTGATAGAAATTTTTAAGCATTCAAAATATATTGTTTTAATTAAGACTAGTTATTTTCAACAAAAAAAATATTTTAATCATATTTAAAAAAATTAAGGGACTATATTAACATATTTATGATTTAATATTAAAATGATCCTAACAGCAAATTATTTTGAATTTTTTTCTTTCATAAATAGAACTATTTTGGGATTTGAAATAGCAGTCACAATTTCCTTCAAGAGGGCAGATAACATCAGACAATATAGCTAAGTACCATTATAAATGCATTTATAAATCCAAAATGATAGTGAACTCTTTAGGCAATGTGTCTTTTGGGTCAAATTTAAAAAAAAAAAAAAGACTTAAATACAAGAATGAAATTCATTCATTTATTTTTTTTTATATTTATATCCTCTGTAAAAGATGGTATTTATAAAATGCAGTACTGCCTCAAGCTAATTAATACTAATTAACCAATCATTAATCATTAGGCATCTTATTCATATACCACTTAGATTTTGTTTGGAACAGCTTTCTTATTACTTTCTAAAGTGACTTTTTAGTACTAAATTTTTTTGTATTAGAAAATAGTTTTAGAAAGTAGTAAAAAGATGTCCAAAATAAATGAATGAGAAGAATTATTCTGTGCAGACGCCAAACGTCGCCCGGAGACTTACAAGAATGCACCACGTCACCCATGCGCTCGGTACTGCTCAGTACCGCGCCTCGATACCGCTGACGCGGCGCATTCTGATAGATCTCCGAATAGCGTTCTGCTTTTAGTCTCCGCACAGAATAATTTCTCCACAAATGAAGAGTTAGATTCACGATGGATTCGTTTGGGACAACGTTTTATTGCTCTCTAAAGATGCTTCAAAAAAAAATTGTACTAAAAATTTTCTTTAGAAATCAGCAAGAAAGCTTTCCCAAACAAAGCCTCACAATCAATTTATTAACCCAATTTCAAAAACAAAAAATTTACATTTAAATATTTAATAAATTGATAGGGTTATATTGTATAAGGGACACAACTCTCCTTGGCGTATTGGTTGAGAGCTTAGGCTTCCAACTAAGAGGTCCAGGGTTCGAGTCTATGTATATGCGTTGTGTGTGTGAGTTTGCCTTAAATGACCTAAATGTCCCAAAAAAAAATATTGTATAAGGGTCTATCTTTAGAATAAGACAAATGAGAATAATAGAAGCTGTTTTTTTTTAACGACCCCACTTCAGGTTTTAAAAAATTAAATCTTTTTTAATTGCAGCCCACATTTCTTGATAATTTTTATAAAAAAACTAATAAATAATAAAACTTTGCATTTATTCAATTCAATTATTGTTACGTCCCCCATTTTAAATGTGGAGAATGATAAATTGGAAAAAAGATAATAAAATTTTAAAAAAAAAAATCATCATGGGATTAAATTTAAATTTATAAAAGACAACACCATGTGAGCCACATGTTACAATCAAAGTATTAAGAATGCTAATAATTTTGTTATGCTCTCCAATTTTTCTATGATATCATTATAAATAGAAGCATTTAAGAGCTATTTTTAAAATAATATAAGATTTTGTCAATATTACATAAAAATTACACTTCTTTTTCATTAACATAAAAATTTTAAACTTAGACGGCTAATTAACCCGATAATTATCTGATTTATTTGGTATATATTATAGATGTGAGGAATTTTATATCACTTTAATTTTCTTATAAAACATTAAATAATATAAATTTTTTTTTACTATAAATAAAGTATATCATAAAGTAAAATTTGTAACATAAGTTAAAGTATTTTTAACTTTGGATTTTGAAAGGTGCGATACTTGCTCTTGCGGACCCTTTTGAATTCACATTGATCGAAGAATTTCCCAATTGCAGACCTTGTTTTAACTCTATTCAAAAAAATTTTCTTTAATCTTAAGCTTAACAGTGATTTCTCGGTTACCCATTGGGATTCAAGGCATGTTTGAATTGAACTTACAAATGACATGGATTATAGCAGTGTTTTTCCCTATCACTCTTATTTTGTCTACAACTGCTTCATGAAGTTTATAAAATGGTTTCCATTTTTGACATTGCTGTGGAATCCCCCATCATCCCTATTTATATTTCTTTCCCTATCTTTCAGCCCCATTTGTTTTCTCCATTAGTATTACACGGATTGTGATCATTTTTTGTCATCCCCTAAAAAATTGTTAATGATACCTCTAATGGGACTTGTCTCTTGGTTGCTTTATTTTGGTCAAATTATATATCACTAAATGATACCTTAGTATTGTGTGGCTTGTGCCTAAAAATTATATATATATATTTAGCACGTTGAGATGGAAGAGTTTTTTCCTTTTTATTGAACATTGTAAATTTATGTGTCATATAAAAAATGATTATCTTAGCTTTCACCCTTATTTAGTTTAGGATTCACAAATTAATCCAAAAAATACTTATATTGTTGCTAAAGGAAATAAGAATAGAGCTCCTTATGGTGATATCTTATGGTGTTGTGGATATTTAGGTCAATAATAATGCTATGGTGGTTAATCCTATCTTAGTTCCTGCTCCTGATATTTCTGGTAATCAATTATCTACTTCCCCTAATATGGAATCCGTGGATCATCAGGTTAGTAATAAAATGTTGAATGTGGTCTCTTGGGTTATGTACATGAAAGTGTTCTTCTTGTCCTGGATGTCTCTAATAGGGTGATTATTATTAACTGATTGTGTTCCCCTAGTTCTGATGATGCATTAATAAAATTGTGTGGTGGGAAGAAATATTTGGATTTGCATTCTATTGATCATTTTGATTGGGTCTATAATTAGCTCGGTGATAACTGGGGTGCTGAAGACTTCAATGATGGTCTCTATAAAATTTTGTAAGAAAATATTAATTTGAATGTTTTACAAGTTGACAATGATGATTTCTTCACGATCTTAGGCAAGAAAAGTAAAAATCAAAATAAAAATTTGGTGCAGAATTTTAAGTATTAATATGTTGGCAGAGTTACGTGATCTAATGCCCATTCTAATTCTTCTTCTAATCCTAAGTTCTTTTTTTGTGTCAATTGGGGCTATCGTCTTTTTTGCTTTTGGGTCACCTTATGTTGTTGGTTGTCTCTAGTTACTTAGGCTGGTTCTTTTTTTGAGGGCCCTTTTTGGCTTTACTTGTGATGTTTGCCTTTTGGATGGGGTCCTATAAGTTGTTGCTCTCGCTTGTTAGTGGTTGGGGTCATTTGGGTTGGGTGATTTTGGGTTTAATTTTTGTGTTTTTTATTGGTTGCCCTGTTGTCGTGGGCTTGGTTATTTGGTTGGTGATCTCTAGCTGGCGATTTTTGGGCTTTGGACCTCTAGCTATTCTGCTCCTGTTATGGTAATAGTTTTATTTCTTTATTGATGTTGTGCTTAATTGGTTTTTATTAGTATTTTGTTTTTTCTTACAGGTCTGGATATCGTGGTTTGGGTATGTGGATTCAATTTTGGGTTTTAGGTGAAAGTAGTAAAAAGATGTCCAAAATGAATGAATGAGAAAAATTATTCTATGCAGACGTCAAACGTCGCCCGGAGACTTACAAGAATGCACCACGCCACCCATGCGCTCGGTATTGCTCGGTACCGCGCCTCGATACCGCTGACGCGGCGCATTCTGATAGATCTCCGAATAGTGTTCTGCTTTTAGTCTCTGCACAAAATAATTTCCCCACAAATGAGGAGTTAGATTCACGATGGATTCGTTTGGGACAACGTTTTATTGCTCTCTAAAGATGCTTCAAAAAAAACTTGTACTAAAAATTTTCTTTAGAAATCAGCAAGAAAGCTTTCACAAACAAAGCCTCACAATCAATTTATTAACCCAATTTCAAAAACTAAAAATTTACATTTAAATATTTAATAAATTGATAGGGTTATATTGTATAAGGATCTATCTTTAGAATAAGACAAATGAGAATAATAGAAGCTGTTTTTTTTTTTTTAAATTAAATCATTTTTTTATTGCAGCCCACATTTCTTGATAATTTTTATAAAAAAAAAAAAAATAGGTTTTTTTTTTACTTTGCATTTATTCGATCAATTCAATTATTGTTACGTCCCCCATTTTAAATGTGGAGAATGATAAATTGGGAAAAAAGAGAAGAAAATTTAAAAATAAAATCATCACGGGATTAAATTTAAATTTATAAAAAACATCACCATGTGAGCCACATGTTACAATCAAAGTATTAAGAATGCTAATAATTTTGTTATGCTCACCAATTTTTCTATGATATCATTATAAATAGAAGCATTTAAGAGTTATTTTTAAAATAATATAAAACTTTGTTAATATTACATAAAAATTACACTTATTTTTTCATTAACCTAAAAATTTTGAACAAATACGGCTAATTAGTCTGATAATTTATCTGATTTATTTGATATATATTATAGATGTGAGGAATTATATATCACTTTTATTTTCTTATAAAAACATTAAATAATATAATTTTATTATTTTTGTTTACTATAAATAAATTATATCATAAATTAAAATTTGTAACATAAATTAAAGTATTTTTAGATGCCAATTACTATATATATATAAACAAAAAACATATAAATAAATATAGAGATTTCCATGTTGAGTATGGAAATACAATAAAAAACTTGTGATACGCATGCAAATTCAATATAAAAAAAAAAGGACAAAAGCGTAATCAATCTATTCAATCCCAAGCATATATTATTCTGATGCATTAGAAAACATTGATACAAATTTCCACATGTCGAATTTCAAATTAAAAAGAAAAAAAAAACTTATCTTTCAACCCAATAATTAAGAACTACAAAATGCCTACCCCGTGTTTCAAAACCAGAATTAACAGTAAGCATAATTTGAAATGGAGAAGCAATAGGAAGAAAAAACAAACAATGCGACAAAACAAAATCACGGAGAAACAATAACATAGGAACAGAGGAACAGGAATTCGCAACACTAATCAAGATTCAGCAAACTTCTTCTCTGTCTTCAATTCCTGTAACCCTTCCAACCACAAATCAGCAAACTCGCAATTTCTGTGCTGCTCAAACCAAGGCCCCCCAGATGTGTAATGAATCGCCTTCGGAAACGTATTCGGATCATTCTCATCCACCTGGTTATGCCCGACGAGGAAATTCCACACAAAAGGCACGGATCCGATCTCATCGTCCTCCAGCCACAAGAATCGGTGCAGAAACGCTCCGGTCTGGTTGCTAACAAGTTCCGGCGTAAGAATTCGATTCTTAGGATGTTTACAATTATACAATACCATTGAAGACCAGTTCTTCCGCGGGTAAATAGTCTGTACTACACCATCCATCTTAGTGGTCTCCTTAGGAGCGTACTCGTGATGGACGCACATGACGGCGTAGCGATCGTCGAGAAGGGCGACGAGGCCGGCGATGTCGGCGGTGTAGAGGAAATCGCAGTCGACGAACATAGCCCAGCCGTGGAATCCGGCGAGGTAAGGGGTGAGGAATCGGGTGAAAGAGAACTCTGTGCTTTCCGTTGGGTCGCGATCGCGCCAGTAGAGACCAGCGGCTCGGAGATCGGATTGGTTGATGGGTGAGATGTCGAGGGGGATGGAGGAGTGTTTGAGGAGAGAATGTCGGCATACCTCGAAAGCGGCGTCCTCGCGGGAGTCGTAGCCGATGAAGATCTTGAATGGAGGGAGAGTAGAGTTGGGAAGATGATCTGCGGAGCCCATTGGAGAGTAGTTTGGGGATCTGGGAGGGAAGGGGGAATGGAAAACAGTGGAAGGGAAGCAACGGAATGCGACCTGCACGTGATGCTTCAAGATTGACAGAGATGGTGAACGGTGGGGATGAAGGGATTGGAGAGGGGACAAAGGTTTCCGAAGATGGCTTGATCCGCTGGCGCTGGTTTGTAGAAGTGCTGCACCCAAAAAACGCGCATCCGTACGCAGTGGGAGGGCCGGTCACGGAATATCATTTGGCAAGCACGTGAAAACCACCATAATTGATGATTACGCTGTGCTTAAACATTTTTAATTTTAAATGTTTATATTAATAAAAAAACTGATCGAAATCTTAATAAGTTTTGGGCTTGGATCTAAATGTGATATTGTCAACTTTGGGAGAAGTTGTTCTCTGGAGATTCTGGATCGTCCGGAGGTGAATCATAATGCGTCATATCATCTGATATACAGCGGTATCGAGCACAAATACCCAACAAACAGGTGATGTGGCGCATTGTGATTAAATATATTTAAAAAATCATATATTTGATAGTGGCTAGAACACATAGAACATTTATTATAAAAAAATATTGATAAATCCAGAGAATTTGAAAGATTGATGTATAGTTAAAGAGTTAATATTTTTAGGTTGAAAATTCTTAGAAAAAGCATATTCATGATGATAACAAATTTTATTCTATGTAAATGTAATGTGTAGAAGATTGGGCCTCCTTCGAGCGAACAATTATTAGGTTTGGTGACCGGACGTAGCTCTACGTTCGGTCACCACTGAGATCGCGCCACGTGCTCTTATTCTTTATCGCGCGGCCCGACCACTTGACCCGGACTGGAACCTGGAAATGCTATGTTCGCGTATTGCTATGTATTACTCGGTATTTTCTAGGTATTGCTTGGCAATAACGAGAAATACCGCTCTGTGAAGACCAATACCGAGAAATACCGAGCAATACCGAGTTTTTCTAGAAAAACTTGGTATTGCTCGGTATTTGTCTTCACATAATGGTATTTCTCATTATTGCCTAGCAAAATCGACAAATACCTAGCAATACCGAGCAATATCGGGTTGTCATGGATTTAAAAAACGCACGTGGGACATACCCACTATTCGCCGGGTCGGGTCCGCGGTTTTGTGCCTTCTATGTGGCGCGATCTGTGCCGCCGAACGTAGCTCTACGTCCGTTCACAGGACCAAATAAAAGTTCCCTTCGAGCAGTCGAAAGGAAGTAAATGTTTTATTGCCAAGTCGATTAGGAGGACAATAATGTTATTAGGGGCACAAGTAATGATAATGAATAATATTATGCCATAATCAAGAGGCATCATACGATAATAATGAGTCACAGGACATAGTCATTAGTAAGCAACATTGAATTAGTGTAAAGAAAAAATATGGATATTTAATTTTTATAAAAACATCAATAATTATAAAGAAACCTTCAATTAGAGATAGTAAATTCAGTCAAATCTAGCACTAAATTTCATGTTTATTTCAAACCAATGAAAGACAATAAAGCCATCTCAATCATAAAAACTATTTAGACAAATCATTTGAACTTTATTTCATTTCCTTCAACTACCTTCCATTCAAATAAAGCCTAAATATTCCCCTAAGAGATTAAAGCTTTGTTTGGGAACTAGAATGCTGCTTTAGAAAACAGTAAGAAACTATCATTATGTGGAAAGCATTTTTTTTAATGAAAAACTCATGGCTGGGGCTCCTGACGCACGAGAGATTATTCTGTGCGGACGCAGAATATAACTATACATCTAGATACCAATCAGAATGAGCCACGTCAGCTAAACCGAGCAGCGGTACGGCTTGTATCGAGCAGCACCAAGCCGCAAGCTTAGGCGCCCAGATGGGGTTCGCTTCCACACAAAATAATACTTTTTGACACACTAAAAGGTAGCAATGGGATTCTCATAATGCGTGAAATTAAATTTCTATTTGAGCAACCAATTGAAAAGCCCAAACGATTTATTTTTTTAAGTACAATAATTCTAAAGACAAAAAAAGTAAAAATACTTGTAGAAAATATGCATGCATAAGACTATTATTACATTAAACTATCTCAATCTTAGTATGAAAGACTAAATAAAAATAAGAATAATTATTACTATAATTTTAGAAAAATAAAACATTTTAAATTAGTGATCAACTCATTAATGTTAAGTATATTATCTGAGATGGATATTATGAATTATCAATTTTCATTCATATTTAATATTTTCCAAAATATTAAATATTTTTTAACTATTTTGAATAATTATTATCTAAATTATATCAAGTTTAATGAGCACATACATGAAAAAGGTTGGAGTAAGCTCATGTGGCAAATAAGATTAGAGGGAGTCCTCTTAGATGGCTTCATCACATAAAATGTCGATCTTCTAATGGCCCAATTAAGAGAGTTCATATATTAGATTGAACCTATGCTAAAAAAAATTGATTAAAAAGTGTTAAAAATAAAATTTTATTAAAATTAAATGAGAATTTAATTCTTAACATGACAATGAAAAAAAATTATTCATATAATTGACTCAAACCCAACGTAATGGAATAAAGGCTTAATGTTCATCTGATGTTGTTGTTTTTGTCTATTATATAATTATGAAACTAACATTATCTACTTAGTAAAATACGTAGAGGTGAAACTACAATCCTCCTTATCACGCAATGTCATAAAATACGTAGAGGGAATGCTATGTTCGTGATTTGCTCGGTATTTGCTCGGTATTGCTAGGTATTGGTCGATTTTGCTCGGCAATAACCAATACCGAGCAAATACCCAGCAATTCCGAGCAAATATCGAGTTGTACCAAGCTTTTTCTAGCAAAACCGTGCAAATCCCTAGAATTACCGAGCAAATACTGAGTTGTACCGAGTTGTAAAAAAACTCGATACAACTCGGTATTTGCATGGTATTGGTCTTCACAGAGCGGTATTTCTCATTTTTGCAAAGCAATACCTAGCAAATACCGAGCAATACCGAGAAAATCGTGAACATAGCATTCCCAGGTTCCGCTCCGGGTCAAGTCGTCGGGCCGCGCGGTAAAGAGTAAGAGCACGTGGCGACGTGTTATTGGCGGCCGAACGTAGCTCTACGTCCGGTCAGAGAACGTAATAATTGTTCTAAGAAAAGACACCCAAAGGCCGATCCGACACAATCAATGCCTTACAGGTGCAGTTGGCAGGAACTTTTACCAATGAAATTGGAGCCATGTGAGGAAAACAAAGCAACCACTGTTCCCCAAAAAAATAAAAAATAAAGATATTATTATCTTGTCCATGATGCTTAGATGTGGGGTCAACCGGATATTCCAGGTTGATAGCCGGAATCTAAAGGGGGTGGTGGATTTTGACTGAGTGAATGAGCTGAGCCCGCTTAAACTCAGTACACTAATGAGCATATGAGCTAATTTTATCTGAGTCATGAGCTTGAGCTCAAGTTGGAATATTAAAAAAGAATGAGTTCAAGCTTGATAAGGCTCAACTCGTCAGCTTATGAGCCGGCTCTAAAAGAATAATTACTAATCTAAATTGGTATAAATTTTTTATGTATTACAAATATTATGGCATTTAATGCAACATTACAATATTTTAAATGCAGCTATACAACTTTTTAAAAAAAGTTTGAATTCACCTTTAAAGATGAGCATCTTTCTCCTTAGATATAAGCATCAACCACGACGTGACACTGTCTAGTGTCTTCTTCTCCACTGACATCTAGCCACAACCACACTTAACGAGGCAATGATGAAGCAAAGCTGTTGCCTTGATCTCCAACAAACTCTAGCCACAACTACGGGTGCAAACTAGTAAAGCCGACTTGCGAGCTGGCTCGAGCTCAACTCGTTAACGAGCTCGTCAATCGAGCTTATCGAATTTCGAGCTCAAACATAATGTCACAGAAGGCTCCACTCGATTACTCGTCGAGTGGCTCGCCGAAATGCGAAACCAATGGCAAAAGGAAGAATGGTGGAGGGCAGGCACTGATGCAGTCCGCAGAAGGTGAAGGTGGAACGACATGGTGGGGGGCGAACCAGAGCTCGTGCGCGTGAGAACCATGGAAGCTTGTGTCGGGTGCAAACCGCAAAAGCGCATGCATGACACGTAATCCAAAGCGGGCGCACATGAGAAACGAGTTCGTGGAGAAAGAGGCGGGCGTGTGCGAACCACGTGATGATGTGGAATTGAGGCGCTCGACGAGCTCATTTTTTATGGCGAGTCGAGCTTGAGCTCAGCTCAAGTTGGAGCTCAGGATTTGACACATTAGACGAGCTCGAGTTAAGCCTGACCAGAGCTCGACTCAACTCGTTTGTACCGCTAACCACAACCCACTCTTTCGTAGTGACAAGAAACTAGAGCTTCTACATCGATTTCATCCCCAATCAAGCTCTAGGGCCTAAGAAAAAATCGATGAGACAAGGTCATGCTCATTCTATGGGCTCGACTTGAGCTTGAGCTCAAGTTCAAGCTGCTCTTTCGAGAGACGAGTTGAGCTCGAATTTACTACGACTCATTTTGTTTACAATCCTAATTAGATATGGTCGAAAATCACCATTATAAATAAGAATTCAAAATAAATATAAATACTATTATTTGTTTGTAAAATTTTATAAGACAAAATACTTCAAGTATTTCTTTTGGCCAAAACTCATGCAAGCTCGAACAAAATTCATGCAGTGAGAAACTGGACAGCAACATAGCACAAAAAAGTTAGCTGCATTGTTTAGCTAAATTGATGGCTCCTAGGAATCCCGATCAATACCTATATGGTAAATCATAGAAAATAGGAAAACCAAAATAAACTTATATTTTTGACATTAGAGTACAATCATAAAAGGAACTAATTTCCTAAATGAGCAAATCACTAAGGAGATATAGCAAAATCAAAAGTAACTTAGCAGAGATATACAAAACATGATTACCTGAGAATATTAACGTGTTGAGAACTCAAATTTGGAACTCAGAAGCGTACTTTGAATTTGCTGCTGCTAATAAAGCTGCTCCAATTCCAGAGCCATCTTTGGTATGCTCGATGACTATATTCTTCGAGACTTCAGCACCAAGTAACTCTGCAACAGCATCTTTAAGGTAGTTTCTATACTGAGGATAATGTTCATAGAGTCCTCCATCCATGGCGACCACAGTTCGCTTCCCAGAAATCAGCCCCTTTGAATCTTGTTCCATCTTCTGCAGAATTCCCACAATTCCAGCCCCAGCCAATCTTCCGCCCCGCTTCACGATTGTGTCACAAACGTCAACTACAATCCTCCTAGCTTTCAGTGTAGACCTTGTTTCCTGGCAAAAAAATTTAAAAATTTCCGAGACTTCTTTCTTTGCGAGATTAAAGAACTTTCTGACTGTCATTGGAAACAAATTTAACTAAAGAAAAAGAATTTATTGATGTTAGTAAAATTTAATTTTCCCAAGCAATAGATGAATGTTATTTCATTAGAACTCACACCAATGGTATTGCTCAAGATTTCTTCCACTTTACTTAAATCTTTGGTGTCATCCTGCTGCATGGCACAAAGATCCGGAGTCCTGTTAGTGTAGTAGAAGAATTAGTTCCAAATGAATAAGCTAAAGAGGTTAGACTATAAGAGGACTGGATCGTAAAATGTATCAGAAAGATTGCGGAAAACGTAATGAACTTATTAGTTTTTGCTTCGAATTCTATTGGAAGAAGAATTCTCAATGTCTTTAAATAGATTTTAGGTTTGAGAATTGCAAATGTGGTGTTGATGCAGTTTTTATGGGCATCCAGCCCTAAGGAGAACAAAGAGACCACATCTTACAGTTATCTTAGAGATGTTCAATGAAATAAATGCTCAAACACAAGCATTTACATCCAGCCCCAGAAATTCTATTTTATGTTTCATCTTCTTCCCTCATCTTGTCAAAAGCTCATATATCAGTGTGTTAATAAAAAAAATTAGTACTTCATCAAGGTATGAAATAAAGATAACCTAAGATAATTCATTACTCCATTTGGGATAAAATAAAGCTTATATGGACTAAATGATCAATTGTTTAGAACATTTATCATAACACAATCAGGTTCTAAATAGTAGTCATGTTAGCTTCAGACATTTTCCTATTTACTCTTTATATGATATTTGATCATATATCCCATTTTTCCAAACATTTTCCTTGTCCATATATTTGTATTTATTCCAAGGACATATCAAGAAGCACAATAAATTTTAAACCCCAAAATAGTGATGGGTGTTGAGATGGATGCTCTACTCAGTAGCCATACATGCTTCATCCCCCCTAAGGAGAACAAAAAAAAAAACACATATTAATATATCTTAGAGATGTTAATGAAATAAATGCTTAAACGCAATCATTTCCAAACACAGCCCCAGAAATTCTACATCACTATTTTTTTACCTCCTCTTCCCTCATCTTGTAAAAAGCTCATAGGCACTTGAAAACTAAAGGGTTTGTTAGATATCAAGTGTGATTATCTTATGACGGTGTCTATGATGCAACAACACGGACATGGCGACACGGACACGGCATTTTTTAAAAATATAGGTGCGGCGTGGACATGGCATAATAATTTTTTTTAAATAATATAGAAATTAAGGTGACATCATATTAAAAATGACAAGCAATAATGTTTAGTACAACCACAAAAATATAAGCAAAAAACCACTCAGTACAAGTATACAACATGAATGTTCAACTACTCAATAGAGGGAATGATAAAATTAGATTCAGAGATTAGTCTTTGGCCTTCAATATCATCATAATTGAATATCATTGCTTCCAACTCTGGTTCATCTAGAGAAAGATTTGTAATCTCCAATAATCTCATATCATCAAGGCACTCGAACCCATCTCTAGCAACATCCCACATCTTATTATCACATGTCATTTAAAGTGGGGTCTTCCTTGATAGAAGACGAAGATTTGCATGCACATAAACAAAATCTTCAGCTCATTGTGGAGTTATTTTATTCCTTTTCATCGATTGAATAAATGAGTATGTGCTCAATTTCTCAAAACAAGAAGAGAATGATATTTGACTAAGAAGTTTTATTGCTATTGTTTGAATAAACAGTGTTGAAGCTCCATGAATCAATCACCACATTTTTTGATCCATCCTCCATCTATCAACCAAAGATTCTTTAATGTAAGCAAAAAATTAGGCCAGCCCTAATTTTTTGCTAGAAAAGACATTTCCTTACTAGGATAAAGAAATTACATAAAGACACTTTTGAAATAACAAAAACAACAACTTTATATCATATAAAACGACCATACAACAAAAGACACTTACAAACGACTCAAACAAAACACCTAAAGTTGCATTCATCCATTGAGAGAAGAAAGATACAAGTGGAGTGGATTCTTGCGGATAGAAGAAGAGGTTAGAAGCCAAGACGAAACATAGGTGAAGCTCGCAAGCATTCCCAAGAAGAAGAAAAGAGAGAAATGGAACAAGCTCGCAAGCTTGTCCAACAAAAACCCTCAAGTTTTCTATTCCAAAAATCACATTATAACACTCTTTTTTTATTCCAAAACATCTACTATTTATAGACCAAAAGAGAGCAACTAAACAGCCCCTTAAAGCATTAATTAAACCTATTAGATTTAGGGAAATGAAAGGCCAACAGCCACCAAACATCAGCCCCAAAACCAGCATACAACAGCCCTTAAATAACCACAGAAAACAGGGGAAAAAGGGCCACGGGAAACCAGCCAGCAGGCGTCCCCAAAAGCCACACAGGAGACAAAGAGGCAGAGCACGGGAAAACCAGCAGCAAGGGACCCGAGGAGTCACACAGAGAACGGAGCAGCAGGCACAGGAAAACAGCCACAAAAAACTGAAGAGACAAAGGGGAAGGGGAAGAGCAAGGATCACCTCATTATGAGCTACCAACTTAGCACATAAATAAACTAAACTTCAGCTCATTTAATGAGCTATCTATCAGCTCAAGCATTAAGAGCTAAAATTAAGTAGATTTTCTAAATAAATAGCTCAAAAACCAAGTAGCCAAAGGCCAAACCGAGAGCACAACAGCCCAAGTGTCAAAAAAAATCTTCTATTGTGTTTGCCCCCCCCCCCCCCCCTTGCATGCATCATTCTGATACCCAAAATCCTCTAAATATCTAAAGAACTTTGCAAATTCTATATTAATCTTTCTTCTCTCCTCATTTGAGAAATATTGTTTCAAACATATCTTTCTCATATTTAAAATTCCTAAATCTTTTTGTGGTGAGACAAGTTGAGGGTCTTCTTGAAGCCATTCTGAAGGAATGTGCAATATCCTAAGGTAGATGAATCGTCTATCTACTGGTGATCCTGTGTAATATACATCAGTATATGCTTCTAGGGTTATTCCATGGTCTCTTCTAAAGAGAATCCCTCTCCCGGAGTTCCTCTTCAGGTAGTGTATTATTCTATCTACAGCTTGCATATGAATCTGTTTTGGATTTTGCATCAACTGGATGGCCATACTTACAGCAAATGTTATATCTAATCTAGTGTGGGAAAGGTAGATCAATTTCCTCACAAGTCTTTGGTAAGTGCTCATATCTACATCTGGATCTTCTTTAGCTTCCTCTAATTTGAGATTTAGTTCCACTGGTGTTTGTGCCGATTTATAAGCTAGTTTACCTATTTCTTTAAGAAAATCATGGATGTATTTTTGTTGTGAAATGAAAATTCCTCTATTGGAGTGAGCTACCTCAATTCCAATAAATATTTTAATCTATCAAGTTCTTTGATCTAATATTCTTTGGTAAGACAGTTTCTTAGAATCACTTTCTCCTTTTCATCATTTTCAAACAAGATTATATCATCCACATAATCTAATAATATTGTGACTTGCCCTTAGCCTGAGTGCTTGAACAATAATGTATGGCCTCCTTGACTCTGTCCATAACCATTAAGAATCATGACTTTTGAGAATCTTTCATACTAAGATCTAGGTGACTGTTTTAGCCCATGTAAAGTCTTTCTTAACCTACACACCTTATTTTCTCAAGATTTTTTCTTAAATCTTAGTAGAATCTTTAAATATATCTTCCCCCAAGTCCTCGTATAGGAATATATTTTTTGACATTCAGCTATTCCAAATGCCAATTATAATTAGTTGCTAGTACGAGAAGCATCCTGACAGTGTTCATCTTAACCACAGGTGTAAAAATTTCTTGGTAGTCGATGTCGTATGTTTGAGTATACCCTTTGGCCACTAGTCTTGCCTTATACCTTTATAGTGTAACATCGGCTTTATATTTTATAGAGAACACTCATTTACAGCGGACTGGTTTTTTTCCTACTGGTAGATCGGTGATCTCTTAGGTATTGTTCTTCTCCTGGGCATGCATTTCATATTTCAATGCACTTTTCTAATTTTCATCAGATAAGGTCTCAGAAATATTATCAGGAATATGAATATTATTTAGTGTAACTAAATTTTTTTTCAAAGTATGAGGATAGGTTTTGATTCAAGTAATCTTTAGCATTGTCAGAATGAAATTTTCTTATTTATTTTTACCCCAAATTGGTTTTCGATCACGATGTGAAAATTTGGGAGAATAATGCTGAATAATGCTAACATCCAATTTATTTTTTAAGAGAAAGATTCAACAGACTCGAGTGCAGTCATCAATGAAGGATACAAACCATCTGGCTGAAGAGATGTTAGGAATTTTTTAGGGACCCCAAATATCACTATGAATAAGATAGAATGGGGTATCACATCTCTTATTTTTGTTTGGAAAAGAAATTTATTTATGTTTGGCTAATTCCCATATTTCACAATGAAAATGTTCATTTTCCAACTTATAAAAAGTTTTGGAAACATATTTTTTAAGACATCAAAAGATGGATGCCATAATCTAAAATGATGAAGCCAAATAGTAGATTTTTTATCAAATAGGGATAACATAGAATAGCCATTAGTGATACTATTAAATTTATTCAGCTCTTCCAGATAGTACAGTCCATCACTTTCCTTAGCAAATCCAATCTTCTTTCCTGATCCCTGGTCCTGAAATAAGCAATAAATAGGGTTAAATAGGACTTAACAATTATGATGACTTGTAAGTTTTTATATCGAGATTAGGTTTGTAGATAATTGAGGTATGTGAAGCACATTTTTTAGAGTGAGGGAGGGAGATAAGATTATGCCTCCTTGACCTGCTACTGTAGTAAGAGAATGATTAGCAGTTATGATTTTATTATTACTTGGACAAGGAGTATAATTGATAGTGGGTAGTGGCATGTGTCATGTGGTCAGTGGCTCCTGAGTTAATGATCCATAAATCTTTCAAATGATTTCCTGAGTTACTAAATCCAATGGATATAGACTTGAAAGTGTAAAAGAAGATGATGTAGGTAATTTTTCAAGGCATACCAGGAGTTGTTTTAGCTTATCAATATCTTCTTTATTGAACTCTCCGAAGCTGGACTACATTTATGGGATGTGCTAACTTGTTGTAGTGTTAGCTTGTGATGTGGTCTTTTGTCCACTTCTTTGGTTCCATTCTTTACTGGGGGCTTTTCGTGTATCTTCTAGCATGTCTCTTTTGTATGTCTTGATTTCTTATAATAAATGCATTAAAGGGAGCATTTATCTTTAAATTTTGTGGAGTCCTTACATTTTTCCTTCCATGATGCTTCTCTGGTTGCCGCCATTGTTAAAAATTCAACAACATTTGGCTCCAACATTACTCCTCGTCAGCTTTCTTTAGCACAAATGAGAGAAATGGCCTCATTTAATGAGGGGTTTCTACTTTCTAATATTTTCCAAGGATCTGGACTCTCACCTGATCAAATGATGAATTTAGCCTTGCAAGAAAATCATATACTCTATCTTTCTCAATAAATTTTTTCAGGATAGCATCATCTTCTGAACACTTGATCTCTATGCACTTGTAGTGATCAAGTTCTTGCCATAGGTTTTGAAGGAGAATGGTATATTTTGTCACAGTCTTGCTTCATTGTTTTGTGCTTCTCACCTTGACCTTAATTTCGAAGATTTGAGCAGCATCCCAGGCTTTTGAGAAGGTTTGTCTAGCAGCATCCCATATATCCTTTGTAGTGGATAGGAACATGAAAGTATCACTATTTTTTGGAGTCATGAAATTCCACAACCATGACATAATCATGGAGTTCGCTTCATCCCATGCCCAAAATTTAGGATCTTCTTCTTTTGGCCCTACTCCAAGGAGGTGATTCATCTTTCTTCTTCCTTTCAAGTAGGTCTTTACAAATTGAGACTACTTTAAATAATTCTTCCTAGTTAGGTGATAGGAATATTGCACATTTTGGAGATCTCCTCTTCCTTGGTTTATGGTAGAATTCTCAATTTGGTAAAAAATTTAGGAGGAATTAACTTCAGACATTGTGTTGTCAAAAGATAGCAATGAAGGCTATCTGAATATGTACCCTCCGAATTTTTGTAACATGCGATAAGGCCGATGATTGTTGGTCCAATCGAGAATAGGAGCAGGCTCGGATCAGGCCGAGTGAAATCGAAGGCACGGCGCTCAGTTGCGATACGAAAACCACGCGAGAGTCAGTTCACACTAAAGCGACGACACGAGTCTCCTGGGCTGGGCACAACAAGAGGTGGACATGGCACAGGCTAGACAGGCGATGCGGGTAGCATGCACGACCGCCCGAAATGAGGGTCGTGTGGACTGGACTTGAGCAATCAGATGGACAACACGGACGGGCGACGCTTGTCGCGGGCACGGCCGAGCGAGATTGCTCGTGTCCAAAAGACACATGCGAGGCAATTATCTCTTTATTGATTGATTTCTCCAGACGACGAAACGTTCGTCTCTTCGATCGACTTCTCCAAACGATAAACACAAGCTGTTTTTCTCTCTTGATCAAACGCAAAGGCCGTGAGGTGAAGCTTTCTTTATTCTCTTGGTTCTCTCGGTAGGCAGGGAAATGAACCAAATGATTATGGCTCTGTTGAATTCAAAGATTTGAGAAGAAAAAGCCTAGCTTTATTAAAAAAAATATATATCCCTATTTATAGATCTATACAAAATCTTTAATAAATAAATAAATCACTTACACAATCCTGCATTATTACCCTAATATAATCCTTCCTAAATCAACCACCTAACTATGGAAAGATATCGGCGTGATCCAATTGAGCCTCCCATGGATCCCCATCCTAACCGTGGGATCAATCTGATATGGCTGAGATTTGATAGTTGGAGGTAAACTAGTCAATGGAACAAGTAGGAAACAATTGTTGTGGCTAGATACTGTGGGTAAAAATACTTTACGAAGTCTGGTTTTCTGGTCACTTAGCTTCTGACATTATATCATGCCAATCATGTCGTTATCTATATTATTAGTAATCATATTTTTTATGAATGATCTAAACATATCAAAGCTGAATGTCATTTCATATAAGATATTGTGTTTTCTAAGAAGAACGTTACTTCTTATATTTTCAATTCAGTATAAATAACAAACATCTTTACCAAAAGCCTAAGGCATCTACCATTTTAAAGAATATTAACAAAAGTATTTTTGAGAGTAAGATTTTAGATCTTAAGATTTTGTCTGTGCATGAGGATGTCAATATTATATGGGAAAAAGTGGCTTGTAATATTAAGAATATTGCAAAAGATGTGCTTGGAGTTTCGAAGGAAAAAACTCCTAATAGTAAAAATAGTTGGTGGTAGAATTCAAATGTGCAAGATAAGATAAAAAATAAGAAGATTTGCTATAAAAATTGATTTAAATGTAAAAATTCTGATAATTGGGAAAGATATAAAGATGCTCGTAAGGAAGCTAAGAAAGCTATTTATGATGCAAAGAGCTTAGCTTTTAATAAGTTATATAATAGAAAGATATATGTATAAGTTAGCCAAACAAAGAGATAGAAGTACTAAGGATTTAGTTCAAGTAAAGTGTATTAAGGATGAAGATCAAAAAGTACTTTTCTTAGAAGATATTCAACAAAGGTGGATGAGGTATTTTGCTAAACTTTTTAATGAAGAATGTGAAAATACGATTGACTTTAGTGACTTTATCACCCTAAATGAAAATAAAGATTTTTGTTTTTATCGGCGTATAAGTAAAACCAAAGTTAGAGAGGCTTTAAAGAAAATGAAGTGTGGAAAAGATGTCCTGGATCGCACAATGTAAATAAATAAAATAGCTGACTAATCTACTAATCACACACAAAAGAAAAAATAGTGTAATTACACCAAAGTTTTGTCGATCATAGCACGTAATGTCTGCTAAGTAATAAGAATATCTTACTGTAAATATTGTGTTGTTTCATTATTAACTTTCGAAAATGTATTTAGTTTTAAATTTAGGGTGATTTTATTTTAATTTATATGGAGGTCAACATTAGAGACTAAAGGTTTTCACTTAAGTAGATCTGAAACGAAATATGTGGAGTGTAATTTTAGTAGCAATAGACCTAGTGAGCTGATTGTGACTTTGGGCGATCAAGTCATTAATAAGAGTACACGTTTTAGATATCTTGGATCTATTGTTCAGAGTGATGGTGAAATTGATGGGGATATTATCAGCAAAATTCAAGTTGGATGGTTGAAGTGGAGGAATGCATCAGGCTTATTATGCGATAGAAAAGTCCCCCTCAAACTGAAGAGAAAATTCTATAAGATAGAGGTGAGACATGCAATGCTTTATGGTGCCGAATGTTGTCCATTAAAAGAGAAGCATAATTCTAAGTTAAGTGTTGCAGAGATGAGGATGCTTAGGTGGATGAGTGGCTTGACCCTTAGAGATAGTATACACTATACGAAATGAGCATATACGTGAAAATGTTGGAGTAGCTCCAGTGGAAGATAAGATTGGAGAGAGTCGCCTTAGATGGTTTGGTCACATTAAACGAAGGCCTCCCAATGACCCGGTTAGGAAAGTTGAGGTATTAGATTTGACTTATGTTAAGAAAGGTAGAGGTAGACCTAAAAAGACTTGGTTAGAAAATATTAGAAATGATCTTTCTTTATTAGATTTAAATGAGAATTTGACTTTTAAACGGACACAATGGCGAAAAAGAATTCATGTAGCCAACCCCACATAGTGGGACAAAGGCTTGTTGTTGTTGTTGTTGTTGTTGTATGTAACATATTAGAACTAATAGATAATATATACTCCAAATTGAGAGGGAGTGTTGACATATTTGCAAAGTAATATTAAAAAAGAATATAAGTAAAATAAATATTTATTTAATCCCATCATAAATGTGATTATTTATCTTATTTGTTTCTTATTATGTTTATCATCTCTACGTGTAAACAGACACCTTATATTCAATGAATAAGATACTAAGCATATTCCCTCTTATAAAAACAACTAATGCGTAAGTATAGCGAATAAAGAAATGATATTCATATTACTTTTATTAATCTTGAGAAGGAATAAAATCAAGTACTACAAGAACTAATTTTGAGTGCTCTAAGGCAAAAAGACATTAAAAATATGTCGATATTATTACAAATACGTGTGTTGGAGCATTGACTAGTATTGGTGGTTGTGAAGTAATATAAAATTTTCAAATTACTATAGGTCCACATCAAAGATTAGTATTGAATCCATGTCTTTTTGTATTAGTCATAAAAATGCTTAGAAAAAAATATTCAAAATGAGGAATTTTTGTGTATACTTTTTACAAATAATAAAATTTAATTAATAATGCATCAATTGAAATAAATTAAAAAATAGAATAGTGAAAGAAATTTTTAGAAAATAGAAGTCTTAGAATTAGTAAAGCAAATGCAAAGTATATGATATATAATTTTAACGAGTATGATATTAATAATTACCATTCAATATTATTAGAACATAAAGTGATATCAAAGTACCTTAGATCTATTATAGAGAAGAATAGAAATATAAATTATAATATAATTTTTAAAATTTAAGATTTGATAGTTGAAATGGAGAAGTGTCTCAAAAGTTGTGTGAGAAGAGAACATTATGAAGGCTTAAAAGTAACATTTAGATAACAACAATAAGATAAACAATATATAGTTATGAATGTTAGGCCATTATAAAATCATTTATATCTAAGTTTATACTAGCAAAAATAAAAATGTTAAAATAAATGTTTAACAAAACTATGAAGGATAAATTAATAATAATTATATTTGAGAAAATATTGGAGTGACACATATTGAAGGTAAGATGACTAAAAATAGGCTTAAATAGTTGAAAATGTACAATAAATGGTTAAAAAATACAGCGTCAGATTCTTTGAAAAAATTATTGTCAGAAGATTAGAAAGGACCAAAGGGTATGCCTAAGGTTACATGAATAAAAGTTGTTCAAAAAGAATTGTGAAGAATAGGTTAACACGTAAGGCAATACTCAACAAGAATAAATTAACAATTAAAATTTATGATATCAACCCCAAATAGTCAGGTCTGTCAGGATACGGTTAATGATGATGAAATTAAAACTAATTAAGGGTTGCTTAGAATAAAAGATTCATTAATTATCCATTACTACTATTAATTACTAAATTAATTAACAATTTATCTTAAGCTCAATTTTCATAATTGAATGCTCATAAAATCTTAATAATATTAATTAAATCCTAATTAATTGTTAATTAGCCTAAATACTTAGTGTATTCGACAAATTGATCGGTTAATTTATTAACCAAAAATGATTTATTATAATTAAAAGTAATAAAATTATAATCTTGATAGAAGATCTAATTAATCTTTAATTACTCTTAATATATAAATAATGAAATATTATTTCAATTAATTAATTAATTAATCCATCCCTAATTATCATAATTAAACATCAAAAATTTGTGAACTTAACTATACACTAATAAACTCTAATTAATATTTCATAAGTGTAATTAGTCAAATTAATTGAAATTAACCCAAAACATGTGAAAACACCTACAAAGGTCTTTTCACAAATTCATAAAACAAACTTTTTATTTTTAAAACAAAGATGCGAAATTAATTAGACAAACATGCTTTCTATAATTAAGTACCAGCTTCTGAAAACAAAAAGCAAAAAATAAAGGATTTACACAACCCTAACTTCCTTCTCCACTCAAGTCAAGATAGAAGTGGGGAAATATTACCTAATATTTTTTCATAGTAATAATAATAGAAAAAGTGAGCTCACAATTTTTTAAAATGACAGTTGACACCTCATAATTCTTTTTAGTTTTACTAGCAAAAATAATTCCACTAAAGTTTGTATCACACTTCATAATGCAAGTGATATTGAACAATTGGTCACATATATTAGTTACCATATATACATAACCACTGAGGATTTTTTTCACAACTTATCGGGATGTTTGGTAGGCTGAAAAAGGAATGCAATGTAAAAAAATGCAGTGTAAAATCAATGTAATGTAAAAGAAATACTTTGGAGTTGTTTGGAAGAGTGTCAAATAAAAGCATGAGATTAATTTTTTTTATTTGGTTTGAAGTAAATGAATGCTGAGGATATACCTTGGTGTATGCTTTTTGCTGAGGATATTCTTCTTGTTGATAAGACTAGAGAGAGAGTTGAAGGTAAACTTGAAGGAGGTCAAACTTAGAGTCTAAAGGTTTTCGCTTGAGTAGATCTAAAGCAGAATATATGGAGTGTAATTTTAGAAGTAATAGACCTAGTGATGGGATTGTGACTTTGGGCGATCAAGTCATTAATAAGAGTACACGTTTTAGGTATCTTGGATCTATTGTTCAGAGTGATGGTGAAATAGATGGGGATATTATCAGCAGAATTCAAGTTGGATGGTTGAAGTGGAGGAATGCATCGGGCTTGTTACGTGATAAAAATGTACCCCTCAAACTTAAGGGAAAATTCTATAAGATGGTAGTGAGGCCTGCAATGCTTTATGGTGCCGAATGTTGGCCATTAAAAGAGAAGCATAATACTAAGTTAAGTGTGGCAGAGATGAGGATGCTCAGGTGGATGAGTGGCTTTACCCTTAGAGATAGGATACGAAATGAGCATATACGTGGAAAGGTTGGAGTAGCTCCAGTAGAAGATAAGATTAGAGAGAGTCGCCTTAGATGGTTTGGTCACATAAAACGGCGGCCTTCCGATGACCCGGTTAGGAGAGTAGAGGTATTAGATTTGACTTATGTTAAGAAAGGTAGGGGTAGACCTAAAAAGACTTGGTTAGAAAATATTAGGAATGACCTTTCTTTATTAGATTTAAACGAGAATTTGACTTTTAATAGGACACAATGGAGAAAAAGGATTCACGTAGCCGACCCCACGTAGTGGGATAACCCACGTAATGGGATAAAGGCTTGATGTTGTTGTTGTTGTTGTTGGTTTGAAGTAAATGAATGCAGTATAAAGTTCAAAGAGGGTGGCAATCGGTGGCAATGGTGGTCGGAGGCGACACATCACTGGCTATGGTGATGGGAGACACCAGTTGGCTGTGGTGGTTGCCAGTGGCGACTGACAACCAAAGGGGAGCGGTGGTGGAGGTGGTGATGGCGGTGATTGGTGGTCAATGGCAGCCAGCAACGGTGTTACTTGTTAGTGGTGACTGGCGACTGTGGTGGCAGTCTGTGGTGGCAGCAGTCATTGGTTGAAGGCGGGCAATGGTCAATGGTGGCCGTGGTGGCGGCCGGCGACTGTGGTGGCTAAAGGCGACGGTAGTGGTGGCTAGAGGCAAGCGACAGTGATGGAGGCTGGCTGCAGGCGACAATGGTGGCGGCTGGCGGCGGGTGATGATGAAGGTGGCAAGTTCCGACAATAATAATGAATTAATGGTGTATTTGGAACTCGCCCAAATCTAAGGAATTCCAAATACACCAAATTGAAATAGAGAGTGAATTTCAAATGCATCAAATTTTACATTGCATTTGTTTTACTTCAAATCAAACATCAATATTCTCAAAATTCTTGCATTTGAAATGCTTTACACTCATTTTACTTCAAACCAAACAGCCCAATTTTAATATTATTTGGACTATAGGATAGTGGAAGATCTGATGAAAACTTTCTCCATAATAATAATGTTAACTAGAGATGTTTAAGCTTGGAACTCAGAACTTGCCTTAGTACTAACGGAATTAAGAGCTTTTCAGGAATAGAATCACCAAAAAGGGATGAAAAACTCGCCATCTTTAGGAGTACTCGTCGTACTATCTCACCAAGGTACATCCCAGATATTGTCTTCTCAAATATCTGACTCATTAGATGTAAAACAAGCCAAATAGGTAAATAATCTTTCGAAACAAAAATAATAATAACAACTTTTTCATAAAAGGAAATTTAAAATAACCTGCTCTCCAGGATTTATACTTTCAGAATCCATATCCTTGTCAAATTCAGTCAACGGAAGATCCGTAGTGAATGCTCCCCATTCAGTGCTGATAATCTGCACAGGAGAGAAATATTATACATATCACAAAGTAAGATGAATTAGAAGCTAAAAGTAGCATTACATACTAATTTAGTACTTTTATCCATACCATGAAATTAGTAACAATGTAGTAGTTTAAAGACTTTAACTACGAATTACAAGGCAATGGTTAGATCGATCAGGCTTTTGTTTATTTCAGTACTAAAGTATTCTACGGACTCATAGTAGACACATTAACGAACCATGTTTCTGGTTCCTCCTGCTGGCCACTGCAGCTTAGGGATGGCATCCTTTCGCTCAATGTAGCAAGCATTGGTACCTGTACCTAATATTACAGCAATCAGGACATCATCATCCCAGTATTTCGCCCCAGCTAATGTTGCCACCGCATCATTAACCTATTTTAAAATAATTAAAATTTCATTTAGTTTCTCCAACATTTTGATCCTGATTCAAAAAAGAGTTAGTAAGATTAGTGCTGGTTTGAAAAAAGCAGCAAATTATAACTCTCATACAAGCTCTTCCGCTGAGCTACAACATACCAAGGCAGATACCGACATATCTAGACCCTGCCTCTGCATTGCTTCTTTTAAACAAGCAACCACATCTTTCCCTGCCTAAACCAAAACACTAAATAAGTTAAGAGTTTGATTGTATGAAAGTGGAGTTCAAGGAAGGAGAATGCACAAATTTTATAATTCATATTGAAGCAAAGAAGCTACGAATTCTCCAGCAATAAAAGCACCACGTTGAGTAAGGGAATATAATGAAGCACTTATAATAATTGGATCCCATGAAAACTACGAAAACTTATCGAGGGATTCTACCATGAGATGCAGTTATTGGAAGATATGTGTATGGTTCTGATACACATATCTGATGGGAGAACAATCAAGTAAAACTCTAGATTCCATAATGGGCTCTGATAGGAAAAGCTTTAAGAGACATTAAGCTAAAAAGTTAACTAATTTCAGTTAATTGATTCTGAAATCATGAGTTAGTCTCCCTATCCATGCAACATGCAACATAATTGCTGCATGGGGCGTAATTTAACTGCATTTGATATCAAACCTAGAATTTTCAATACAAAATATGGACATATCTGAATTTCAAAATATAGTAAGTGTATTAAAGCATTTAAACTTATTTCAAGGATCTGTTGGTAGTTTACATAACAGTCAAATCCAAGAACAAATGAACATGTTGTAGAGCCTGACATGCAGTAAAAACAAAGCCAAGCAAAACAAAAAGGCGATGAAGCTGGTGAACTCGGACGATAGGCTACTGCCCCAATGCACTCCCTCCATCGCCTCATAAGGCCCAAAGTAACGTAGTGATAGCTTCTCACTCTTCCTTGTTTAGAGCCCTGTAATCCACACAAAACCTCCAACTATCGTCCTTCTTCTTCACGAGTAGAATTGGACTAGACAAAGGGCTCACACTAGATCTAATGATCTCTGTTTTAAGCATCTCCTTGATCAGCCTCTCTATCTCATTTTTCTAAATTTGGGAGTAATGGTATGGTCTAACCCCGATAGGATAGGCCCCCTCCTTTAAGGTGATGGCACGCTCATGCTCTCGTGGCAGCCCTAAACCCGATAAATTGTCGGAATATGTCCTAAAATTGTTGCAAAATCTGTTGGACCCCCAATGGTATTTCCTCAATCTCCTGCTCCTAGACCCCCTCTATGCTTGTAACTCCACCAAGTATCCCAAGCTCGCACCCTGGATTGTCCTGAGCATGATTTTAAGTGACACTATTGTTTTGCATAAGCTAGCATCCCCTCATAGCACTACCTTCTTTCCGATTACTTGAACCTCCATGGTCAGAGATTTTCAGTCCACCTTCATTTCTCTCATTGTCTGTAGCCACTTTATTCGCAGAATCACATCCGTACTTCCCAAGTCTAGGGGAAGGAAGTATTCCACCACCTGAATATTCTGCAAAGTCATCACCACCCCCTTACATATCCCTTGACTTCGATCTATCTTACACATCCCCATCATCACCCCCCATCCTTCTGTCTCCACCAACTGCAACCTCAAACGGTCCACAACTCGATTCAAGATGAAGTTATGCGTAGCCCCATTGTCCACCAAAACCACCACTGGTTGTTCCTCAATTTGCCCACTCACCTTCATGTTGTGATTTGCTGTGAATCCCACCACGTAGTTTAGGGGACACCTCTGCCATGTCTAAATGTAATTGTGATGTTTTCTCTACGACCTCCTCTAGCTCATACCCGCTCTCCTCCTCTCCCTCGCAAACCATGAAGACCTGAAGAGCTCAATCCTTGCACCTGTCCCAGTGAAAATATCTCATCACACCTGAAGCATAACCCTTTTACCTGCCTATCCTACACCTTCGCGACTGTGAGGTGTTTGAAATTGCCTCCAGGACAAACTTCAGTCCCCTTCCCCTTTGGCACTTCCTTCTGGAATGACATCGTCTGGGTTTTCAGTGCCAAGGTCGTAAAGGTACTCCTGTAAGCCCCTCCCATGATGTTGCTCCAGCTTGCCTTCTCCCTTTGCTATTTTTCTTCCACCCTCTGAGCTAGCTCCATCGTCTCCCTTAACCCTCTAGGTCTAAATACTATGTGCTCTACTCGCATGTCTTTCTTAAGGCCCTTCATGGAAATTCCCTTCCAACCCTTCCTCGGAAATCTCCCCTTAGCCTACCTGATAGCAGCTCAAATTTCTCCTGTTACTCTGTGATTGTCCCCTGCTAAGTTAAAGCATAGAACTGCTCGTGGAGGTCTCCTTCTCGAAATGTTCCAACAAACAATCCTTATATCCCCTCCATGAATAGATCAGATACCTTGTCTACCTCCATTGAAACAAAGCTAAGGCTTTTCCCTCCACTGAAACCAAGCTAGGGCTTTTCCCTCCAAACATAGCCCCGCAGCCATGAGCTTCTGCCCTTCCGTAATCCCATTGATAACAAAGTAACACTCCACCCGATACACCCAACACTCAGCTTCTTCCCCTTCAAAAATCGACATCTTCAACTTCCTTGATCTCACATCCATACCCCCATGGCTTCTTCCTCCATTAGTTTCCCCCATGTAGTGATGGTATGATTCTCTCCCTTCCTCCATTTCCCTTGGCTGATTTGGCCCTCATGGCTCAGCCCAGCCACTACCTTCCCCAATCCACCTCCCACCATGCATGGGTGGGTCTCCCAAAAGGTTCAGCCTCCCCCCTTTTTGCTATCCTTTTTTTTTTCTGGAAACCCCAATCCACTTACTAGTGGATCCTCCTGTGGTGGTCTTTGAGGGTAAACACTCTTGATGTAGAACGGGTAGGACGGGTTTGCTAAGGAGAGGATCTCTCAGCAGCTTTGAGGTTTTAGAACTCTTGGGCAGCAGCTCTTCTTGTTGGATTGTTAAAATTCAACCTTCGTGCAAGCTGGGGTAACTGTTGGGGCAGCAGGAATCCTTGGGCAGCACCGGAATTGGGGCTGACAGCAGTTGGGAACCAATCGGAACAGTGGTTTGCTGGTTTAGGGGTCTTTGGACAGCAGGGAGGACCTGTCTGGTCTACAGGACAGCAAGGTTGAGCTGCCGTAATCCTTGGACAGCAGTTGAGAGCTCTCCAAAGGTAAGAAATCTTGTGAAAGGGGCTTCAGAACAATAGTTTCAGCCTTCCTCTGGTGCCGGACAGCAAACATACATTTGGGGGAGAGGGGAAAACAGTCTCAGATTTCTAATAAAATTTTGAAGGGAATTTTCAGATCTCGGTGGACTAGATTGTAGAGGAATCGGAGGAAGTAATTTCCCACTCAAGGCCCTTGAATTGGGGAGCTATCTAGAGGAAATAGGAGAGGGGAGGGAGGCGGTGGAATTAGAGAGAAAAACGGGATTTAATTCCAAAGGGGGAAGCAGGAATTGGAAAGGGATTTAACGGAAGTGGGGCCTGGAACTTTTCGGCCAGGAAAAATAAATCTCAGATTTTTGGAAATGCTTCCAAAGAAAGAATTTAGCTTAAGGAAATAATTGTAATTCCAGATTTCACGTTGAGGGGTAGGGAATTAATTTGTGCTTTAATTCCATAGGGAGAGTTTTAATTTGAGAAAGAAATCAAGAGGGGGTTCGGCCAAGCAAGAACCAAGGAGCAATTAATGTGGAGATTTAAGGCTCATTGATTTGAACTTAAGAGTTAGGAAAGTGAGACAATAAATCAGACTTGAATTTAAAATTCAAATTGATTCCAATTGAGCACTTTCCAAAAATAGAATGACAAATTAGGAAGGATTTCAAATTTTAAATTAGTTGGATTTGAATTTCGAAACTGTCCAAACTTAAATCATCCAAATTAAGTTTGAATTACATCATGAATGAGACTCAATACTTTCCTAAAATAGCTTTCTAATTTATGAAACTATTTGAAATTCAAAATTCGAATTTCAAAGGATGAAAATAATTTCCTAAATTATTTGAACTCTTTAGGCAAGCATTAAGGTGACATTGACTCTTCATTCATGGAGACAAACAAGAGTGGCCGGCGGTGGAGGAGCTAATGGGGGAAGGTGGTCGGTGGCCAAGAGGGTGGGATCGGGTGAAGGTGGCCGGCGGCTATGGGGAAAATTTGTGGAGCTTGGTATGGAGGTTTGGCCGTGAGGTGGAGAGGGGAGGAAGAATATGAAAACGACGACGGGGAGAGATAAGGAGGAAGAAATCGAAACAAAGATAACGAAAGATAGAAGACAAAACGAAAGAGAAAAAAATAAGAACCGTGAGCCTCAGACTCTTCCGACGACTGACGGATGATGCTTTGCCCTTCTCCAAGGGTCTTCAATTCACGAGCCCGGACCCATCCTGCGGCTGGTGACAACTTCGATTCCTTCCCATAGGAATCTCACTCTCGTCCTCTCTCAAGAAGAACACAAGTGTGGAACACAAAATTTTCATATCGAATTAACCATCCATTACAATAGCTTAAGGCCCTTATTTATAGGCCCCAATATGAGAAAATTCGAAATTACAAAATTATCCCTTGGGCCATAACACTCAAACAAACTACCCTAGGGGTAAAACATAAAATACATTAATTTAGAACTAAAATTCAGAAAAAAAAAATCATAATAGAAGGTTTAAATGATAGCCGTCGATTTGCGACGCCTCCTGTGATAGATGCGTCAAATCTTCGTACTGATGTCCGCATCAACTCTCCACTTCATCATCGTATTCCTGAATTTCCTTTCCCTTTGGTTCATCCCTCAGAACCGTCAGTGAGGCATTTGATTGCATCTCGATCATCTTCTTCATCATGTCTTCCATGTTTTAAAGCGGTTTTCAATGGATGAGAGCCTTCCTTCCATATCGGAATATCTTTCTTTCCATTCCGACCTTGATTTGTTCTATCTCACCTTCCAACGCATCCATCTTCTTTGCTTCTATTCACATCGCTCTGATACAAATTTGTTACACCTTGAAGGGTAAAAATAGCTAGAAAACAACGAATAGATTCATAGAAGATGAAAACTGAAATCTGAAATAATATTGTCAAAATAAACACTGGAATAGATGCTAGAACATCACAAGATACAAGTGATCCACTAATGGAGAGGTGGATCTGCTCCCCCAAACCTAGGCACAGTTAGGAACCTAAAACACAACAAGTCCTCTCTAAGGGAAAAGTCCTCTTTGAAAAAAAAGTAAAAAATTTAAATAAATTAAAAAAAAAAGTCCTCTCTAAAAAAAATAGCAATCAGCACATACTAAACTTAAAGAAAATAGCCCTATTTATGCACCACCCATCACTTCCTTCTATAGTAGGTAATTAAAGGTGTGGAGGGTCCCAACTCCCAAGTGTGGCTTTTCATGTTCCAAGGGTGATTTTTCATATACCAAGGGTGGTGTTTCATGTCCCGAGGATGGCTTTTCATATCTCAAGGACAGCGGGCCCAAGGGTGCTAATCCCATAACACTTACTTGATTGGATCTCACACATATCAGCTAGTTAGAAAACACAAACAGCTTCAGGCAGGAAGACAAAATCAGAACGAGGATCAAATAATTAAACCAACTAAGCATTCATGGCATAAAGCTTGGAGGCTGAATAAAGCCCAAAAACTAAAATAGATAGACGAGCGGTCTATTACAAAGCAGGTTCACATCTCCGAAGAAACTATCAAGCTATTCTTAATCCGGACTGCTAGTTCCTTCACTGAAGATGCAAAACAGTAAAATGGGAAAAATCAATGAAAAATGCTAACAAATTAGAGGTAGTAAAACGATAGTTGGCTCAAGATGAAACATGGAAGGCTGGACTTCCATCAAATAGAGAAATATGGCGGCCAAACAAGCATCTGTTCTACAAGCATTCATACATACATATGCATTCAGATTGTGTTGTTGGGGCGATCCTCAAAGCACATGCATCTATAGGACACCCACAGTGTGTGACATCTCGGGTCAGCATGAAGGATTCCAGGGCACTCTTCTATTCAATTAGGCATACAATCCCTTCAAGCATCTTCTCTATTTGTGCGAACCAATTTTTCCCCTTCAAATGATTCATATCTCCCATGAATTGTGACAACTTCAACTTTGAGAAGATTTCAAACTACTGTTCTTCCCACTTCATATGCAATAAGTTTTTTTTTTTTCATTCCAGTCAATTAAGCGGTGCACATAAAGGGTAGCCATTCCTAGTTTTGGCTCTTAGAAGTCCCATACAATCATCTCTAGATTGTCCAATGATCATCTTGGAATCTTGGTTCTTGACATCATAACATCACTCTTTGTGAGCAGATTGTTCCCATCTTCACCAACTTCTTGACCCTAATATCATCTGCAAATATGATCAAAATGCTCATACCAAGGCCTGGCATTCAACTCAATGAAAGGGAGGAGAAGAGGGATTAATTCAGAAACATCAAATATGTAAAGGAAAAAGGAAAATCCAATCAATAAAATTACTATGAAATTGTCATGTCTCAAAAGACAAGACAAGTAGACCACGAGGAGCATCACTCAACTGAAGTGTATGTCCACAACCAAGATGGGTGGTGCATGGATGTGCCTTACTTTTAAAATCACTTAAAAGTGTTTTTATATATATTAAATATAAATATCCATGCCACTCTCATCCCTCACTCACTCGCATGCCTTGCCCGAGAAGAAAGGGGGAGAAGAGGAAAGGAAAGAGGAGAGAGAAAGATCTTCGGCAACTTTTGTTTTTCATTCATGTTAAAGATTTTGTTCTATTTGTTGTAAGTAACTATCCACTTACTTTTATTTTTGATAGATTTGATTTATACTGATTTTATCTCTCATAAATATGCTAAAAATGCATTATATATTAATTTTGTAAGCTCTCCCCGCATAACTTTTGATATATTATAAATTTGATCATTATGAACAATATATATGATTTTATTGCATTTTTCACTAGTTATGTATATAAATATTGATTTTTTTTATAAGATACATATATAAATATTGATTATAGTAATGTGAATTATGTTTTTCCATTATTTATACTTCTTTAATGCAATTAATCAGTTTTGGATATTAAATTGATATAGTTGTTAAATGAAAGATAAAAGAAATAGAATGAGTTGAAAAAATAGATAATAAAGAGAGAAAAAAATTCATTCACGTTAGATCTTGGGACATGACATGCCATGCTTACGAAAACTTCAAGGATGGGTGTATTCCATAAGAGCTCCGCATAGTTGATCGGACTCTTACTAAATCACACTTGATGATAGTAAAAAAAAATCTTTTGTTTGACGGGGGACTGATGCCAATGTGGACATCGCTCATATGAGAGAAATATTATTAAAGCATGCACCAATATTGGATTTAATTTTACATCAATTAATTGAAAAAATGTTGTGAAATACCATGTGGTTGACCCTCACTCATAGGCTTAAATTTCTTAGTTTGAAAACAAGTTCAATTTCTAGTGTATCGTTGGGCTTTAGTAGCCATTTGGTCCACAATGCCAAATAATAAATGATGTGCTACCATTTCAGGAAGTTACATTTATTACTATGCCAAACAAACTCCCATTAATCTTTACACATATAACGGGATCAAACTCTTGTGGACAGATTCCACCTTAATGTGCTCAAGTCATCGAGAAAGAAGAATATAGCATACTCTATTTTGTATGCCAGATCTAAAATGGCAGTATGGATATGAATAATGCAAGAAAAGTACATGGATTAGCTGCTCTAAGGCTAGCTGTCAAATGGCATTTTTCAGAACAAAAGCCATGGCAAGAAAACATTAAGGAGCCTTACAAGAGTCTATTGACAACTAACCGTCCCCAAGACTGCAAATCCTTTTGTCCACTTGATGAGAATGCCTGAATTAATGGAAGTTTGTTTTATTGGAAAAGAAAATGTAAAACCTATCTCCCTCGTCCTTCCCTTGGGCAGCTGAAATTTCCCACTTTCTTTCGCAGCAAAATTTGCTAGTTTAGATGCAATAAAGTTGAACAGTTCCTATAACATAAAACCAAAGGGTGAAATTTTTGTACCAAAATATTTAGCCTAAGAGGAAGATCAAAGTATAAAAGGTTTGGACCTCAGTGGTTCCTTGCATTAGCTCCTGTGGAATTGATACCTGCTCAAACTCAGAATCAACAACTTTGTTTTGCTTACCTCCTAGCTGCACCCTCACCACCCGAAAATTAGTACCTCCAAGATCCAATGCATAAAATAGACCCTTCTCATTCCTATATACAAAAGAAACTGTAAGTCCACCTTAGAACCATAAAGAATACAACAAAGCATCCCAGAGGTAAGGGACCAAACGTCAAACTACAAAATTACCCCATCTAAATAAATAGTAATGCTACGCTGCCCAACTTACAGCTCAAAAAAAAAATTTTTTTTTGATGAATTGCATGACTGCAATACAAAGCCTCCTGAGATAATTAAGCTCTCTCTTCCTCTCAGTATCTTTCTTTTAGTGCCAGCACATCAATTGTTTTTTGGCTGTGGGTTAGGCAGCATAGCATTTTTCCTAAATAAATGGCAATAAGAAGTGTGCAAATATAAAGTGCTATCACTTAATCCAAACGCAAGTTTTCCATCAGTCAGAGAAGAATTTATACCACAAAAGTTCTTGAAATTGATAGCATGAAAAAACAATTAAAAGAGAGAGTGTTTGATCCAACTAAGTTCAGTCTGCCCTGCTACAATAGAGGCTATCTAAAGTTCTGTGCTGAAGTAACTATTCTTAAAATTACAAAAATTTTGTGGCAGTTTAGATTTTGCATGTACCGCAATTTACTTTCAAGGCACAGCTGTATAAAACCTAATTACATGACAAGGAAAAAACATGATACATAGTAACTTATGAATGACGTTAACTACACTAAGTTATAAAACATACTAAATCTCATAAACATCCCTACCAGTTAAGATATCTTCACCAATAGTGTTAACATTTGCTCCAGTTCAGACCAGTTTGCTAACTTCAGAACCAGAGCATGAGAGAGAGAGAGAGAAAGCTGATATGCCTTGGTATCAAAAACAGCAGCATATTTTTATTGATAGAAATTAGTAGATAGCACCTCTCACAAAATTCTGCATTAAAAAAAAAACTCTAAACTTTGACTTAAATAAGCTTTCCTTTTCCCTCCTAATTCAGCCCTCTTTCCTAATGTATTTCTCTCTAGTATTTGAATTTCAATTAGTAAAGGATTTCCTAATTGATCCCCTCCTAACATAATAATTTAATTCCCTGTTGGGCCCCACCCCCTCAGCCGACTTCCCCTCCCTGTCCGCCTACCCCTCCTGGGCCAAAATGCGGGCTCCCGCTGCTTCCACCGTGTATCAATACTTCTTTGATTCCAGTTACTCCTAGTGACTTAGTCACAATTCTTCAACCTCCAGTGGTTCCAACAACACCTCCATGTCATTTGTTAAGGTCAGGGAAAGTGTAGAAGGAAGGAATATGCTCTCATATCACCTGTCACAGTTGGACACATGAAAGACCATATGGATGGCTGACGATGGTGGTAATTATAGGCAATAAGCCACGGCCCCGATGTGCTCCACTATCTCGTAGGGACCAAAAATACCGTGGTGAAAACTTATCATTCCGTCTTCGTGCCAGGGTTTTATGTCTGTAGGGATGAAGCTTTAAGTAAAACTTGCCTCCCACATCGAACTGAATGCCCTGCATGTGTGCATTTGTCTTCTTCTTCATAATTTGTTGAACTCTCAACAAATGCCCATTCAGCTCCCACAAGATCCTATCTCTGCCCTACAAGTATTGTTCTACCGAATCCACTGGTGTGCTGCCTTGCCTATAATATATCAAGTGAGACAGGTATAGTCTGCGCTGCTGATAGTCTGCGTTGCCGAATGATAGGAAGTGTTATATCAATACTCTACCCAAACTAACTATTTTGCCCACAACTTGGGTGTATCTGATATAAAGCACCGCAGACAAGTCTCCACATTACAATTGACTGCCTCTGTATGTCCGTCCATCTGAGGATGACAAGCAATGCTTCTTTTAAGGACGACCCCCTACATTTTAAACAATTCATCTCAAAACTGGCTTAGAAAGATATGGTCCCTATCTAATATAATTGATTCTGGGATTCCATGTAATATCACTACTTCCCTCATAAAAATCATTGCTACTAATATTGTTGTATAGGGCTGGCGAAGAGGGATGAAATGAGCATGCTTACTCAACCGGTCCACTACCACCAGTATCATCGTCTATCCCTCTGACTTTGGCAGCCCTTCGATGAAGTCCATGGTCACGTCCTCCCACACCTTTTCTGGTAGAGCTAACGGCTGGAAGAGCCCTCTTGGAGACATAGCTAAATACTTAAGCATCTAGCATATACCACAGCTGGCCGCCATCTTCTCAACATCCTTCTGCATTCCCTCTCAATACTGCTTGACAGATAGCTGGTGATATGTCTTTTAGGCCCACCGAATGCCCCCCAATGGTCGTCTCATCAAACTCCTGAAACAAGAAAGGAATGTAAGAAGAGGTTTTGGAAGCACAAAGCAACCATAATGAAGCAACTTCTATCCCACCACTTAATATCCTGGATGGATGTCCTTGTTTCTTGCCAGCTCCTCCCTAATATTCCTCAATCCTAAACCATGTTCGCTCTCTCTCCTCAGTGCTTTCTAGTCAAACACCAAGGGGCACAGACAATGTCATCATCTGTGGTTCCCCCATGCACCCAGATAAACCATATGCTGCTTTGTTCTCCACTCTGGATCAATACTGAATCTCAAAGTCATAATCCAATAACTTGGAAATCCACCTTTGATGTTCCTCAATAATCATTCTTTGTTCCAACAAATACTTCAAACTTCTTTGGTCAGTTCTCAAGATGAAATGTCTTCCTGGTAGATGCAGTCATCATTTCTGAATAGCCAACAAAATCGCCGTCAGCTCCTCATAGACTGATTTGAGCTGGCCCAGGTCGTCAACACCTGATTAAAATAGGCCACTGGCCTCTGATACTGCATGAATATTGCTCCCAACCCAAAACCTAAGACATTTGTCTCTGCTAAAAAATGCTGGCTAAAATCCGGAAGGGCTAAGACTGGCACACTGGTCATTGCCTTCTTCAACTCAAAAGCTTGGGTAACTGATTCCCCCCACTTGAAGTTGTCCTTCTTGAGTTGTTATGTCAATGGCCCTGCTATAGAACTATATCCTTTCACATATTTTTAATTGTAGCCTATGAATCCCAATAATCCTTTCAGCTCCTTTAGATTCTTGGGTATGAGCCATCAGAGCATGGCCTCAATCTTACTCTAATCAGCCGTCATTCCCCCCTGAGATATCGCATACCCTAAGTACTCCACTCTGAGCTGGGTGAAAGAACACTTCTTCTAATTGACAAATAAGGAGTGCACCCTTAAGGTGGACAGCACAACTCTCAGATACTCTAAGTGCTCCCCCACTGACCTGTTGTAAACCAATATATTATAAAAAAGGAAACCAACACAAACCTTCATAAGTAGGGTTAGAATATCTTATTCATCAGGGACTAGAAGGTGGCCGATGCGTTAGTGAGGCCAAACGGCATCACCAAAAACTCATAGTGTCCCTCATGCGTCTGAAAAGTTGTCATGTGGGTGTCTCCTGGTCGCATTCTGACCTGATGGTATCCAAATTTCAAGTCGATATTGGACAAAATATCACAAATCCATACAGCTCATCGATGACAGGTATGGGAAACTTATCTAGTATCGTTTCCTTATTTAGGACACGGTAGTCTATGCAGAACCTCCAGCTCCCATCCTTCTTCTTCACCAACAATACAGAACTAGAGAAAGGGGCTCACACTGGACTTGATAATTTTAGCTTCAAGCATCTCCCATATTAGTTTCTCAATCTCATCCTTTTAGATCTGTGGGTATCGATAGGGTCGTACACTAATGGGGAAAACTCCCTCCTTCAAAACAATAAGTGATCGTGCTTCTATGGGGATGTAATTCCTAGGGAAGCTGGAATACCTCCTTGAATTGCTGAAGCAAGGATGGACAATGTCTAAAATATCCTCTCCATTCTCTATCTCTCCTCCCTCCATAATATGGAGCTCCGCCAAGAATCCCCCTCCTTCCCCATGAAGGGCACAAACCATGATTTTCGAAGAAACCATTGCCTTGGATAAGCTAGGGTCCATAGGGAAATAGGCTACCCATAATTTCATAATCTCCCTCCCTTAATTACCACCCTTCTCCCCTCCACTTGAATTTTCATGACCAATTTGCCTTCCAATTCAGCTTGGTCTCCCCCAAGATTTGTAGCCATTTCATGCCCAAAATCAAATAAGTACTCCCAACTCTAATAGAAGGAAATCCTCCGTGATGTGAATCACTTGCAGCTCTACCACCAAACCTAACATATCCCTCTGCTCTTCTCCACCTTTCACGTACCCATCATCACTCCAAACCCTCCCATGTCCATGGTTTAAAATTGCGCAATATGAGGCTCTCCTTGAGGCTCGCCTTCAGGCCCGCCTTTGCGCAATTCCAGTAAAAAACGCCTCGAGTTTTTTTATGAGGCTTGCGCCTCAACTTGGTTGTGGCCCGCCTCGCCTCACTGGCATGAGGCTTACGTCTCACGCTATATATATTAAAACTTACATAAATCTTGAAGTAAATGCCCGACATTGGACTCTATAGGAGAGGAGGAAGGGGACAGAGCAGTTCATCATAATGATGATTCAAATGAAGAACCTCTTACTGATGACTGTGTTGATGACTTATGAGTTCTTATGTGATATATCATTGCTATTTTTTTTTTTTGGAAATTGGAATTATATGTTAATGAAAAGAATATCGGGATTTGGGAAAGATAGAATTTTGAGTTGAACTATATTTCATGTTGTCTTATTATTGGGATATTTTGATTTCAATTCATATCTTATACCTTTTTATGTTTTATATTATTCACTCATTAGTATATAAAAAATTTATCATTTTATGTTTACGCAATCTTTTGGTTTTGAGGCTTACGCCTCAAAACGCCTTGAGGCTTACGCCTCGCCTCACGAATGAAAAATGCCTCAATACCCGAATACGCAATTTTAAACATTGCCCATGTCTACTAGTTTCAGACTCAGTTTGTCTACCACATGATTCAAAGTAGCTCCACTATCAATCAGAATTGACACTGCCTCTCCTCATATATGCCCCCTTACTTTTATAGTGTGATTCGGGAATATCCTACTACATAATTTAATGAAACTTCCACCCCTCTGCTCTTCTCCACCTTTCACGTACGCATCATCACTCCAAACCCTCCCATGTTTACCAGTTTCAGCACCAGTTTGTCTACCACTTGGTTCGATATGAAATTATGGTTAGCCCCACAATCAATTAGGATCGCCACTACCTCTGCTCTTATATGTCCCCTTACTTTTATAATGTGACTCGGGGAAAATCCCACTATAAAGTTTAATGAAACTTCCACCACCTCCAAGCGCACGGACTCCTCCTTCACTGCCTCTTCCTCGTCCACCTCCTCCCCATCACACATAATGAGAACCTGCAATATGCTATTTTTACGCCTATGTCCTGGTGTAAATTTCTCCTCGCATCTAGAACATAGCCCTTAGTTCTCTTGTCTTACAGTTCATGATCAGTCAGTCTTTTAAAATCCCTTCCTGGTCAGGCTCCCGAATTGCCCTCCTCTGACGTCTCCCTTTTAACTAGTACAGTCTACACCCTAGGTGCCAGGAAAATGGTCGTCGTGCAATAAGAACCTCCTTCACTGACCACTTTACTATTCTTTTGTAGTGATTTCTTGTTCTCAATAATCTACGCTAACTCTATCGCCTCTCCCAAATCATGTGGTCTTGCCACCCGCACTGCTTTCCTCAACTCGAGTTTGAGACATTTTATGAAGTTGCTTTCCAAAATTATCTCTGATAACCTCCCTAACCGTCCTGACATAAGCTCAAATCTTTCCTCGTACTCTATCACCATGCCAACCTATGTCAAGGCAAAGAATTACTTGTACTAATCCCCATACTGCTAGGTTTAAAAGTGCTACAACAAGCATTTCTTGAACTCATCTCACGAACAAATTTGGTCCTGTTCTCTCTCCATTAGTACCATGTTAGTGCATTTCCTTTAAGACATAGAGCCGCGGTCATCGGTTTCTCATCTTCTGTCAACTCATTTACTGCAAAGTATATATACACCATATATAACCACCCATGTGCATCTTCCCCTTCAAATACAGGCATTTTTAGTTTCCTAATCTTATGATCCCCTCCACCCCAATATCCCCTTCATGTGCATCTTCCCCTTCAAATATAGGCATTTTTAGTTTCCTAATCTTCTGATCCCCTCCACCCCAATATCCCCCCCCTCCCCCACAATGCCTCCCATGATGCGAGTATTATGGTCTCTCCATGATTCCCTCTCGATCATTCTCTGTTTATAGTCCCTCATTCCCCCAAATTCAACCCACATGTTCTCTTCTTCTCATCCCTACTACATGTATATTCCCTACCCATCCCCCTTCTTAGTAGAGGCTCCAAGTGGGGTATTTCCTCCTACCCTCCTAAAATTTCCACCTCCTTGTCTTCCCTCGACAGGTCCTGATTTCTCCTTTCTTCCGACGGATCCGTTTTAGTATGAAGCTCCAACATCCGCTGCATCATCTCCTCCATATTCTCAAACCTTCCTTCTATTGCTAAAATGCGTTCATTCATTAATCTCACATCCATTCGTAGTTGCCCTACTTCCCCCTTCAACTTTTCTTCAAACACCTCAACTCTTCTTCCAGGCATCGGTACCTAGATCAAGGCTTCAACAGTAAAAAAAAATAGCAACTATGACGCAAATATGGCCTCCAAATAGCCAAAAAATCAATGGAGAGTGAAAATTCAGCAGAATTTGGCGAGGAAAAATGAAATTTCAGTCCAACAAATCGCTCCGATACCAATTTGATACTCCTTGTTATCAAAAACAGCAGCCAACTCAAAGAGATTCAATAAAAACGCAAATTTTTATTGATAGAAAATCAAATACGAATAAAGCAAGATACAATTGTCCTCTTTTGAGATGACATTCTCTCCCAAACCTTAGACGCCGCTAGGATCCCTCACAAAACAGTAGAAAGCACCTCCCACAAAATTCTGCATTATATATATATATATACTTAGAATTAAATAAGCTTTCATCTTCCCTCCTAATATATCCATCTTTCTTAATGTATTTCCCTCATCTATTTGAATTTCAATCAGGAAAGGATTTCCTCATTGATCATCTACTAACATAATAATTTAATTCCCTGCTGGGCCCCACCCCCTTAAGACGACTTCCCCCTGTTTGCCTACCCCTCCTGGGCCAAAAACTGTTGGACCAGTCGGTCCAGTGGTTCCCGGGCCCGCCTCCTGCTGCTTCCGCCATATCAAAAGCATAAAATAAGAGGAGCTACTTCTCTAATTAAAAATTGACTCGAAAGCTCTAGATGAGAGGTTAAGTTTTATATGCGTATCCATTTCAAGAACAAAGTGAGAAGAGCTAGGAGAAAAGGTTAGATAAGTCTCCTTCAATGTTACACATAGATTATAAGTTCAAATCTAAAAACATACTCCTCACTAATTAATGGTAAGGCTACCTAGATTAACCCCTCAACAGAACCACTAAATGGTTAACGTCACTTCATCCGTAAGCCTATTTGCAAACGAAAATTATCACTTATATTGTTACATTGCACTGGAAGAAATAATCAAGATTCTTATATCGATGCACAGATCAAACCAAGCTGGATGTTACCAAGGAAACTATTTGTAAATTAATCAATATAGACAAATCCGATGGAGAATTGGAAGCTCTGATCCAATCTAGTTAAATTCAAACCCTCGCCCAAACAAAAATAAAATTAAAAATAAAAAATTGAGATCCAAGATCTGCTCACCTTATTTCCTGCAACTCATTGTTTTAACTATGTTCAAAATAAATGTTTCTGGTTAGCATAGAGATATTAAGATTCTAAGTTACGATGGAAATGTCCCAAACCAACATCTCCCAATCCTTCCAATGTTGACAAGCTCCTCTCAGACACGATGATTGTTCTCCCAATTGAACTTTTCCTTGTTTGCCTTATTTAGCAAAGGACTGTATTTTGATCCCCACCTTCCCTCTTTTTACTACATGTCTACACTCTTTTCCAGCTCATTTATAATTGTAATATAGCAAGAGATCCACATACTTGACGAGATCCCAAATTTTAACCGAAGAGTAAATATCGTGTAATTTTTTTTTTTTTTTTTTCCTTCGGGCCAACGCATCGTCTCAATAGGGTAGAAATATATCATTAAGGACAATGCGCTACAAGTACCCGTACTCAGCCGATCTTTATCTCAATAAACTGCTAAGCTCCTTTATGTATTCTCTACAGAAATCTAAAGTTAGAAGTCAATGAATAACAGAGTTTTAAACCATTTTAGGACAATTTATTTCGTTTGAGAACTGCATAAACTACGTCAAATACACCTTATAACCGAATCCTTCAGTCAACTCTGCTTTCGTGTTTATACTTGTCGAACAATCATGCAACGATAAGATGTAGAAGAAAGAGAAATATCCATATAATGAAAATGTAATCAAAAAAAATTGTAAGCAGAACAAAACACTATTAGTTCAGCACCCAAAAATATTATTAGCAGACTAATCAAAACAAATTTCTATGTAAAGTTCAAGAAATAAACAAACTCTCAGAAGGGCCATCCTAAGATACATCAAATAATCAAAAGAACAAAGCATGAAACTGACGGTGTGGAACAAAAAGTAAGTTTTCAGCCCAGGCAGTAATGCATTTCAGTCTATAAATACAGTTACCAAAAAAGAAAGTGTGCACTCGCCAAAAAAATCATCTGGGGCGCCGATTTAACTTTGCGCCGTTACAAAGAAACGCCATGTCTCGTGCTTGAACCATACAACACCTAGACCTCAATGTGCTTCAGCTAAACTCAACAACATGTAGCCCATCAACAAATATCTATCACTTCCCCAAAACCAACACTAGCTAGCAAAAAACAGCCAATAGTAGAAAAAGCTGCGCTAAATTAGTGCAGGAAGCTCACCCGGTGGGAAGGGAATCAACATAGCTAAGGATCATCTTCAGATCACTTCCATTATCGGCTGCTAAACCTGCTCTCATATCCGATGCCATTGCGTCGGCGATGCGTTGGAGCAAGGGAAGCGGCGTGGCACACTTCATCTTTAGTTCCGTCAAGATCGGCACCGTCGTCACTCCGCCGGCCAGGGAGCACCGGAAAGATGGGATCGGCCGCCTCCCACAGCGCGTGCGGATGGAGAATGTTCCCACCGTAGCTGGAGCGGCAGACATCTCCGATCGCGGAGCTCGTTTTCGCTTTGCAGAATGGAAGTACCATTCACTTCTGGTTCGATCTATGGTATTAATGCTGAGCTTGCAAAATTAGATTGTTATAATAAGTGTTAATCAAGAATGTTCTACAGATTTATATAAATATTTTGTATTATGTTTAGATTTTTTTTTTTTTTTTTTTTTGGGCAAATTTTAAGGGGATTTACACATTTAGAATAATTGATATGCTCTTATTATTGCACAATTATTTATTAGACTATTTTTAATTATATTTAAATTTCTTTTAAATGTTCTAAAAATGTTTAATAAAAAAACTTAAAAATTTAGATCAATTTGTTATAGCTCACAATAATTTTGCTTATTATTTTCAAGGTCTTAGAAAGAAAATGAGTTTGTTATTAATAGTTCAGGATCTGATCATAATTGTTAGTTATTTCTCTTATTGATTTTTGTGCAATCGTTACTAGTTTATTATTCAGTTATATAACTTCTGTTTGTATCTATATTTTGTAGTGTAAATACATTTTAATGAAATCAAAGAAATTATGTGTATGAGTTTATGTTCAGTATTTGAATATTTTAGTTACTTTGTAATCTATTACTTATTTAAAATGAATTTTAAAAGAGAATCTGAAATATTGAAATCAAGATATTTCAAATTGATAATGCTCGTGATTATTTTAACCACATATCATCGTCTTCTTTGGAGAAAGAATATGGCATCCACTAATTCTCATATCCTAATGATTCTTCCCAATAAAATAGAGTGGTAGAAAGAAACAATTGTTATCTTATAGAAGTCACTAGGACTCTTCTCTTCCAAAATCAATTGCAAAAAAGATAAAAATAACTTAATATCAATTGCAAACAAAGGGGAAGAAAATGATGAATAAAAATAATTTTTTTTTTTATAAAAATATATAGTAGATGGAAGCCAAAAATATATAGTATGATGTGATACTCATAACCAAAGGATATACTCAATTATATGGAATTGACTATCAAGAAATTTCACAAAAATGAACACATTATACATTTTAATTTATCTTACAACCAATCGTGGATATTCTATGTGTTGATATGATTTAAAGAATTCTTTCACGCATAAGAATATCGAAGAAGAAGTCTATATAGATTCATCGACTATATTTGATAGTTCTTTCACAAAAATAATGTGTGCAAATTTAAAAAGGCTTTTTATGGCCTTAAATAATCTCTAAGAGCATACTTTGGCTAATTTACAAAATCTATAAATGAAATTGGATATAAGTAAAGCTAAGCAGACCATACATCTTCATAAAATGTTCCACTAATGATAAAATATTAAAATCTCAATTCTCATCATATAAATTGAGGATGTAATTGTTATAAATGATGATAGTGAAGAATGGAAAATATATAGAAAAAAGATTGTAGCATAATTTGGGATTAAAGAGTTGGAAAACTCAAATACCTCTTAGAATTAAAAGTTGCATAATTATAATAATGAATGTTCCTCTCTCTCAATAAAAATATGATGAAAATATATTGAAAGAAACACAAATAATTGATTGTAATTATTTTAGAGGGGATATGTTAGAATATTTTGGGTATTTTGGGCATTTTGCGCCCTCTCAAAAAAAATTTTTTCCCTAATTTTATGAATCCTAAGCGTCTTTGTCTATCCCCCACCAAAAAAAATTTTTTTTCCCACCTTGAAAAAAGAAGCTGGATTCGCCCCTGTTCTATCTCCAGATATCACATTTATAATGAGTTTTATCAATCAATTTATGCATAAACACAAAGAGTCTCACCTTCAATTTGCTTATAAAATTATCATATCTCTTAAAGCAAATCATTGTAAAGGAATCTTTTATAAAAGAAGGAAACTTTATAATTTGAAAGAGATATTGATACAAATTATGTATGATCACCAATGGATAGATGATCCACAACTAAATATTACATATTGTTTTAAGATCTAGCACTGAGTTTCAATGTAAAGTTATTGCCTAAGGAATCTGTGAGCTTGGTAGATATTGCATAAAAGATAAATTGAAAAATGGGTTGATATGAACTTCATATGTGTTGATAGGAAATTAATTTACAAACATTCTCGCCAAATGAATCTACAACCCCACATTAAAAAATATGGTACTTAGATTGCAATATATTGGCCTCCTCTTTCTAATCTAGCAACTAGCTAATGATGGTTGGGTGATTTCATTATAAAAATTTAAAAAAAAAAAACCTAGAAAATACTTGAAAGTTGTTTCTAATACTTTTCAAAAATAACTTGATTTATTTTAAAAAAGAAAAAAAAATTGTGTGTGTGTGTGTATATATATATATACCACATAAATTTTATGGTATTTATATATTTGACACTTCAATTTTTATATATAATTAGCACCAAATTTTTTAAATAAGATGAAAAATATTACTAATATTGACTCTTCTAGAGTACAATGTATTTTTTTACGCATATGTTTTGATCTAATTGAGACACTAAAATATTAGATATATAAATATATAAAAATCATGTGGTATGCATGTAAATCCCTCAAAAAACTAAAAATAACAAAAAAGCATAAATTAACCGATCATATTTTTTACAAATAAAAATAAAAATTGATTCCAAATAGTCCCTCAGCTAATATATTGAATAATTAATTCATGTCATAACTGAGCTTCTTTTATTATTATTATTTAGTTATTTTTTTATCTTATTGTGAGGTTCTTAACTTCTCATTGATGTTCAACTGATATGCAGTTAGTGTAGGCCCATATTCCGATAAAGGCCAATGATTAAAGACCAATTGGAATATATAAAAAGAATATGGTTAGGCCCCCTCTTGTAACTATGTAATTCCTTTCCGATATGATTGCAAACATATTAGGAAGATGATAGAGGAAGATCTAATCAATATCTTTTTACCTTTAAACTCTATGAAACTTCTTGTTATGTCTAGCGCCAGAGGAAGAAATTCTGCAACATTTGTACATCCAACGATCTCTATTAAAGCTTTTTCACACAGCTCAATCAAATTTCGAAATGTTTCTCAACATTTTTTTTTCACTTTTTTGTGAAATTAGATCCAGGCCAAATCAAAAAGAAACGAACAAGCTGCCCTGTTCCCGATTCAATTCATACAGAACTAGAAGACACAAGGAAGAATCTTGGAAAGGCATAGAAAGAAAGATCAAAAATGGCAAGCTTCCTCAGCTCTCTAACTCAAGCGACTGAAATATAGAGAAAGAGACAAGCCAGTCGTAGACAATAGATCCAAAATATCAAGTTTGTAGAAAATGCGACTGAAATTAATATCGAGAAGCCAATCTACAACAAAGATACAATATTTCACAGGAAAAAATCTGTAAATTTTGCCAGTAAGCCAGTCGAGTGCTAGGAACTTCTCCATAGGCAGAGAAAGCTCGCTAATGAAAGAACAAGCAAAAGAAGAAGAGCTATCAAGTTGAAGAATCATTTCAAGCTCAAGCCACAGGAAGAGAAGCATAAATGTTTGATTTTGGCAATTGTAACATAGATATCATACAGAAATTACAGGAATTTAACTTCATTTCTGCTTTACAAATGCCACCTAGAGTTGTAGAAATTTGTATTCTTTTCTTGGTAGTTGTAGTTTACATATTGCATTGAACTTAGTTTACATAATGATTAAAGATGACTAAGGTTTCATTTGGGACGACTTTCTTACTGCTTCTTAAAGCAGCTTTCTAATATAAAAATTTTAATTTTTAAACTAAAAAATTGTTTTAAGAAGCAATAAAAAACACGTCCCAAATGAAGCCCAAGTTGGGCTTCTGCTTTCTAGTTGAGGTTAAACATTATACAGGAGATTCTAACAACTTCATCTTCCATCTTGGCATGATTTATTCAAGAACTCAATGCAGTCTGCAATGGCCTCATCATAATGAGAATTCCTGGGAGAAATATTCAAAGTACTTGATCTTTCTGGAACATCAGAGCGATCTTCGACAAACTGATGAGTAACTGGTGGCTTTATAGTTGGAAGAGAAGACACGAGAGCATCTCTGAATCTTCTGAAGAGCTTGGCCGACCAAAGAAATAGCTTTGATGCTGTTTTCACCTTAGCTCGTCTTCCTTCATGGCTTACTTTAGCTGGGAAGCTTTGTCCTCTTAGCTTCGACATCATAGCTAAACTGTCACATATGTTAGCAGTTTTTGATGTTGATCGATGTGTTATGGCTGTCAATAAGATTTGACATTTATAATGAAAATTTCTTTCAGGTAAAGAAAGTTGGGCTAAAGGTCATGTGCTCATATCATTTGTGAAGGACTAAATGCTCATTAGCTCCACATAGTGCATTGCTTTCATCATGACTACTTGAATTTCTTTAACTAGCGATCATTAGCCTTTCAGAGTAATGACGATTGACAAACTTATCATGATTATGAGGGCTCCTACTGTTAAGGCTGCCCAATGGTCTGATAAAATATATTTAAAATGCATTCTAACTAAATAGTTCAAGGTTTATCATTGGCTTGGGTAACCCTGATTAATGAAAAGCTTTTGAGAGTACCCCATTATGGTTAATTTAGGTCCGTTTATAATCTAAAGCTTCTTCACTCTTAAAAATCAACTATATTATGGCCTATGGGTTGGTAGAATTAACCCAAAGTGATGATATCAACATTGGGATTGCACTTAGGCTTCGTTTGGGACGGCTTTTTTATTGCTTCTTAAAACAGAATTTTAGTACAAAAAGAAATAAAAAAGCCGACCAAATGAAGCCTTAGCAAGCAGCAAGAAACCTATTATATACTGTTCACATAAGATCTATTTGATACTATTTTTTTATTACTTTGTTTTTCATAAAACAACCATTATTTCATTTAGCTATTGCTTTTCAACTGCTTTTGAGAAAATTTTTCATTGGAAAGTTGTTTTTTATAATAATATTATCTAAGTTTCTTTTCCACATCAATTTTATAATCAACTTTATAAAACATTACTTTATCCCAAACAAACACTTACTTTATACCAACAAGCTGAACTTTCTATTATTAACTTAGGCTTCACTTGGGGCGGCTTTCTTGCTACTTCTTAAAACAACTTTTTAGCAC